TTGAGCTGGTTGAACTGGAAGTCGCCTCAGGGTCTGCTCGGTTTAGGGTTTAGGGTTTAGGTTTTAGGGTTTAGGGTTTAGGTTTTAGGGTTTAGGGTGTAGTCAGTCAGGTTTACGGTTTAAGGCTTAAGGTTTAGTCTGCTTTTTCAGTAGAGAGACTAGGAAATCATTTCTCGTTGGTCGGGGGCAGAATAGGGTTGAGTGGACATGGGCTGATATAGCCTCGGAGGAATTTAAGTGACAGCTTTGACTGCGAGGTGGAAGGTGATTCCCATAGAAAACCACACCCAAGCTCGTTTCTTATTCACGGCTGCCGAAAGATGAGGGGTTCTCGAATTTTGCAAAGCAAAGAAAGTCTTTCTCAACTGCCCAAGGGCAGTCCTTTCCTTCGGGGTAGCTGCTGCCGTAGATCCGCAGCATCATCACCTAGGTTGTCCTTTAAAGCCTCTGAAAACTCTTCGTGAATAAGATTCTGTTGATATAGAGGCCTTGTATAACAATTAGAATAGGGTTTTGGGGCCCATTATTCTCTACAAGAAAAGTGCTGGTAATCATTTAGGCCCCTCTATCCCTAATCCCCTTTCGAACCCTTACAGTATCCCTCTTAAGAAACCCTTTAGAAGGACCCACTATAGGGGAAAAATGGACAAGATCCCGAAGCTTCGAAGGCCAGGCACCAAGAAGGGCGGCATGTTGCACAGGGTCACCAGCCAAGGCTGTGTACAGACCTATGCTGAACTTAGAAACCGAGCAAAAATTATAATTGTAGCTGTTTCTTAGGGATGAAAATAACCAAAAATTAAAACATATTTCTAAGTACCCCTAAGAGACCATGATAGCCGGAAGCCGGTATATCGCCAACATCAGCACGGACATGTGAACAGCTTGTGGCAGCGTGGTGACCATGGGTGTGGAGATCAAAGTCATGACCACCATGCCGAAGACAAACCAAACATCCAGCAAGTAAGCTCGAAGCAGGCAGGGAAAGAAGAAGAAGGTGGCAAAGAATACCAAGCAGGCGTTCGACAGCCACGCGAGCGCTGGTGACATCCATCTTGTTGTAGAATCTCTCAAGATGTTAATCTGGGTGGCAGTGTTAATAATGAGCCACATGACCAGCATGCAGTTGTTGATGGCAAAGGCCATGGCCAGCCGCCTTGTGCCTGGGCGGTTTGGGCGGCCAGTTTGAGCGATTTCCGAATTCATCCTGCACACCCGGATAAACTTAACCCTGAAGCCGAGAAACCCTGAAACCAGGAAATGCATGTTTCTCTCGTCTCTCTAGTTGCCGTTTAAGAACATGCCCACGAACTTCATGAACATTTGTTGTAGGAAATTGCCGGTTTGGGAACCCGGCTTTACTCATCAGGCCACTACCTTAGCTCAGTCGTGGATAGACACAGTCCATACAAGGAGGTTCGCTCACAAGGAGGTAGTCCGACAGAACGGCTCAAAACTGCGAAAACCCCAAACCCAAACCCTAAACCTAAGAAAAATCAACCCTCCTACAAAGTCACAGGAGAGGTTCACCCTTTTGCATCAGGACTCGTTCAATGGCGTGAACGTCTGAGCACACGGAGGTTCAGCTCTCATGACTTACCTTTGGTTAGTAGGGAATGGAAGAATGGTAGTAGTAGTAGTAGTAGTAGTAGTAGTAGTAGCAGTAGTAGTAGTTATAATGGTACCCCATTCCTCCTAAACACTAGAACCTGAACCCTGAAACCCCTAAACCCTATTACAGATCTCTTTAAGGAACCCTTATAGATCCCTTAGAAGGAAGCCTAAACCACTAAAATCCACCCTTAAGCCCAAGAACCCTGCTATGGCTTTAGGAGTTTCTAGCTCTAGGTGTGAGTTGCCCTGCCATGGCTCCGCAACCTGAAGCTCACATCCTGGGTCGACCCTTTTTTTGGGCTTTGTTTTGGGCCATACTGTAGTGTCATGAGATCTAAATACAACTGTATATAGAGATAAATGGCTAGATAGGCAGATACATAAATAGGTACTTACTTACGTAGACTAAGACTATATATGGGTTCAAATTTCTGGTTTCGTTCAATCCTCTTTTCACCGTCGGCCAAGTGACGAACTCGCTCCCTGATCAACTGCTGCTCCTGCAACGGAAACGGTTCTAGGTCAGGGTTCTGAGTCCCATTGGCATCCGGGCTTGAGTTTCGGGTTGTTTTCCACCCGCCAGGCAGAAAGATCGCACGTTTCGGGTTTAGGACTCAGGGTTCAGAGTTCCCTAAACCCAGAACTTATCAACGTGTAGGATTTAAAATGAACGGGGTTCTCTACTTTCAGGATCGGTCGAGCGATGCACGAGCGCAGTGCCAGACCCCTAAAACGATGAGTTTCACCAGTGGAAGCAGAACCCTAAATCCTAAACCCTTTGTGTCACTGGACTCAAGTCTAGCCAGTCTACAACCCACAATCGTAGACTGGCACCCTAAACCCTAAACCGCAGCAAATCAGGCTTCGAAACCCCAAACTACAGAATCGGCCGGCCGTGGTGCCACCTTTGCCTTGCCTTTGGGTAGTAGGGAATGGAGGAATGGGGGGTACAATTATAGCTGCTATTGTTACCATTCTTCCATTCCCTCCTAACCAAAGGTAAGTTGCTAAGAGCACGGTTCGAAGTCCATCGAAAGTCAGGTTTAGGATTTAACGTTTCAGGGTTTTAAGCGTTGGGACAGGGTTTAGCACCCTTCAACCCCGAACCGTCTGGGAAGCACCCTCCCAAGAGCCAAACATAGTATAGAAAGCCTCCTCAATACCCAGATTGGGGCTTTGGATGCTAAAAAACGCTCTTCCATTAAGGAACCTAGCGACTTGCACTGGTACTACGGATTTAGGCTTGTGTAGTAGACACAAGGTGCACTGACAGCCGGAACACGATCGTCACCCCCCGAAAGTCCCAAGCCCCAAAGTTCAAAGCTCCGAAGCTACCACCCCTAAACACTCTAAATGTCAAGATCCGTCATTCTAGTATGAGAACCCACACAGACACACACAGACACACACAGACACACACACACACACACGCACACACACACACTCCAAAAACACATGCAACAAGAAAACAATCCCAATGCAATTCCCTAGGCCGAAACCCTGAGCGCCCCTCCTCGCGGCTAAACTTTTCTGGGCTACGCCGCCGGCAGCAGGCAAAGCCTTGGTAAGAGTAGTAGTAGTAGTAGTAGTAGTAGTAGTAGTAGTAGTAGTAGTAGTAGTAGTAGTAGTAGTAGTAGTAGTAGTAGTAGTAGTAGTAGCAGTAGCAGTAGCAGTAGCAGTAGCAGTAGTAGTAGTCGTCGTCGTAGTCGTGGTGGTGGTAGTAGTCGTAGTAGTAATAATCATGGTAGATAGGGGCTCCTTTATGGTTCCTTTACAAGAGACCCTGGCCTGTCTCCAGACAGAAACCCTCGTCCTGGCCCAGGCTTCGGGTTTCCGTGGTTTAGTGCTTAGGGGCTCCTGTTCTCACCGGCTGGGATTTAAGCTTTAGGGTTTGAGGTTTAGGCTTTAGGGTTTGAGTTCTCACTGGCTGGGATGTAAGATTGTGTTTTGTAAACGGGTGTAACATCCATGGATTGCGATAGAATTTTCCTACCCTATAGGTGCCTGGAAGCAGGATCCGAACCTTTTGGCAAAGTCCCTGATGTCCTTCCGGTGCAGAAACGACAGCCAACCAACCTGAGAGCAGGGAAGCAGCAACTCTGAAAACTGCTGCAACAGGAGGTTGGAAGTTTCGACGACAGTGCTTCGAACCTTCTCTCTCGCTGTCCCTTTCGCTAAGTTGGCAGTACTGCACTGTTTGTGATTGTCCAGATTTTCCTGTTGTCGGCTGCGGTAGACAGCCGGCCATGGTGGCGGTGGTAGCGACGGCAACGGCAGCCGAAGCTTCTGCCGCAAGAACTAGCGCAACTAGCATCATCTATCATCTGCCCCTGGCCTTGAGGAGGCATGCGACTTGCACCGCCGAACAGATGAGCAGCCAGGACTCGGTGTGCAATGCGTATGGGTCGAGGGCGCTCTCCATGGCTTCTTGTGGGCGAAGCAGACCAGAATCTAGGGCTGACAACTTATGGACAAATCATTGGTCCTAAACATACATATTGGACTGTGCTCATGCCCCATCGCCGTCACCCGAGTCTCTGTTCCATCGTAGAAACTTGAACCAGAAAGCTGCAACTTGTGAATGAAGGTCGCGCATGGAGGTTTTCTTCTGTACATAGATGTTGTGGTTACTGTTTCACCAGTTGCACGTAATAGGTCGATCTTATTGAGAAGGACGATCATGAATCATGGGCATTCTCCCCGGTCAGGTTGAGATCGGGATGTCATCTTCGAGTCAGCTCAAGGCTTGTCAAGCTCTGCGTGCATATTCCGGCATTAAGTAATTACACCAGTACCCCACCGAACCTCAGCAAGAGTGACCAAGTTGTTCAAAAGTACATGACCGCAAACTTTGAAACTCAGAATCCGTTTCTCAAGCACGGACACTGCTTGCCTCTGTGTGTGTGTATGCCGACAAGGCAGCTTGAGATAAAATGTCGACTCTAAAACAACCCAAAACCCTTTACCCTGAACTATCAACATCGAAAGTTCGAGTTGCCTCACCAGCAGCAGCAGCAGCCGCAGCAGCAGCCGCATCAGCATCATCGTCATTGTCATCGTCGCGGGCGTCAACACGCTGGTCGTGATTCGCAACGTCAGGATCGTGATCATTATCATTGTCACTGCCATCATCTTCGCCACCGTCATCGTCACCGTCATCGTCACCGTCATCGTCGTCATCATCGTCATCCTCCCCATGATCATCGTTGCAACAGCCACACTCGGAGCTGCAGTGGCTTCAACTACCGGAACCCAAACAACCGACAACGCAAGTAAGTCTAATCCCGACACGCCTGTTCAGCGCATCTGCTGGGGGCCCAATAAGAACTCGTCGGAACTAAGCCCCCAACGCTAAACTGAAACCCAACACTCACACTACAAAGTGCCTTGAGCTTCTGCTGGCCGACTAAGGTCAGCACCTAAGTGCGTCGGACCCGGCTTATGTCACAAGTGCTACGAGAGTTGCAGATGGGTTCTATTTCAAAGGGCCGTTTACGGCTTCGTGGGGATGTTATACTTACAAGGGTATTACTGCCAGGGTTACATAGGGCTGGACACCGGTTTTATAAGGTGCTGAAAGATTTTGGCGCTGACGAAAAGCTTGGGGGTTGCATGGGTTCGTGGCTTTCAGTTTGCAAGAGCTTGAGGTATAGGTTCTAGGATTTGGGGTTGCAGTTTGTCTGTGGCAAAGACCGAGACATTGGCTCGCTAAGGTTCGGTTGAAGATTTGGTGCAAGGTGTAAGGCATTTTGCCTCAATAGGACTTAATTTACATAAGTCTGTGCATGTGTGTATATATGTATATAGGTATATATAAACATAGAGTATCACAAAGTCAAAGGCTTAAGGAATAAGGGGTTTGCGGTTTAGGGTTCCCTGCTCCTAGCCCTCATAGCAGGGTAGTGCACAGAGGACAACTGAAAGTTAGGGCTTAGAGTCTAAGTTTGGAGGTCTAGGGTTCGGGGGTTTGGGGTTTGTCCAAACCCTGCCGCGACGGCTCCTTGTCTGTCCCAGTGGAGTACCATGTTTGCTGCTTTCGATGCAGCCGCCATTTGCATTTTCAGGTCCGTTGTAACTGGATACCTGTACGCACTTCCCGGGAAAGGACAACCGAATTATACATACATATGTATGTACATGTATGGCGATACCTAGTAATTACGGTTCCGAAAGACCCATCGAAACATTGAGCTGTGCGTGTGTGAATCTTGCTCCAAGAAACAGCCATGGCCAACCGTTCGGCGCAACTCGGGAAAAAAACCGCTACCTCTGCCTGCGGAAACTTTGCGCTTGTCACAAGGCTAGTCCTAGACCCTTAAGCCCTCAACCGCTAAACCCCTCACCCCTAAACCCCCTCTAGTCTAAGCTCCTAGCCCCTGAACCTTAAAGGCCAAACCCCCACTAAACCCTGAAGAGCGGGATTCGTGGAAAGGAGCCTGGATAGTTAGTAGTTCCATTTGGGAGTCGGAGTCTCCGAAAATTGGGGGTTCCTTATTTGGGGTCCTTTTCATAAGGATCCTACTATTTAGGGTACTATATTAGGGTCCCCTATTTTCGGAAACTCCCATTTTGCTGCGCTCGTTATTACCCTGAGCACCGTATAGCGCTCCATGCAAGGGCTTAGGTATCAGGTTTCTGGGTCTCGGGTTTGGTGATTGAATTGCTACGGCATAAAAGTCTTCGGGGTTCTACATGCCCAGCCCAAAAAAACCTAAAATCATGCAGAAACCTCATGAATTTGCAGATGAAAAACCAGACACCAAACCCCCCACCCGAGGGCCACAGAAGCCTCGTAAACCTCAGACAAAACCTGAATCCAATCCAAAAGCCCCCTGCAAAGCTTCCCTAAGCCCGAAACCCTGTAACGGTTCGCCGAAGGCGCTCTCTGCATGTGATCGACCTTGGCGAGCAGGTCGTCGACAGCGTCACCGAACCTCGGTGTGCAGTGTTCTTCTTGGGTTGGGTGCCGGGATTAAAGCCCGGGTTTTTCGTTCCGGGGTGTGGGTTTGGAGTTGTGTGGGGTTTAATGGCTTCCGTTTACGTGTGTCCTGCGGGGATTAGAGGAGTGGTCCGTCCTCGATTTGGACTTCAGCTCGGCCCTTCTGTCACAATGTTCTTGCTTCGGTGATCTTGTCTGCTTTTACGGTGCCATGAACCCTAAAGCCTAAACCCTAACTAAACCCTAACTAAACCCTAAACCCAAATTAAACCCTAACTAAACCCTAACCTTAACTAAACCCTAAACCCAAATTAAACCCTAACTAAACCCTAAACCCTAACTAAACCCTATAAACCCAAATTAAACCCTAACTAAACCCTAAACCCTAACTAAACCCTATAAACCCAAATTAAACCCTAACTAAACCCTAAACCCTAACTAAACCCTAAACCCTAACTAAACCCTAAACCCAAATTAAACCCTAACTAAACCCTAAACCCAAACTAAACCCTAACTAAACCCTAAACCCTAACTAAACCCCCTAACTAAACCCTAAACCCTAACTAAACCCTATAAACCCAAATTAAACCCTAACTAAACCCTAAACCCTAACTAAACCCTATAAACCCAAATTAAAAACCCTAAATTAAACCCAAATTAAAACCTAACTACACCCTATAACCCAAATTAAACAGACCTAACCGAAAACCCTAACTAAACCCTATAATCCAAATGAAACCTAACCTAAACCCTAAACCGAACTAAACCTTATAAACCAAAGTGAAACCCTAATAAACCTGAAACCCTAAACGGTGGACTAATGTCCTATAAACCCAAATTACACCCTAACTAAACCCTAAAACCCTAACTAAACCCTATAAACACAAAGAAACCCTTAACTTAAACCCTAAACCCTAAACTAAACTATTAAACCCAAAATTAAACCTAACTAAACGCCTAAACCCTAACCTAAACCCTTTAAACCCAATTACCCCCTAAATAAACCCTACAACCCTAAACCTAAAACCCTATAAACACAAAATAAACCCTAACTAAACCCTAAACCCTAACTAAACCCTATCAACCCAAATTAAACCCTAACTAAACCCTAAACCCTAACTAAACCCTATAAACCCAAATTAAACCCTAACTAAACCCTAAACCCTAACTAAACCCTATAAACCCACCCTAACTAAACCCTAAACCCCTAAACTAAACCCTAAACCCTAAACTAAACCCAAACTAAACCTATAAACCCAAATTAAACCCTAACTAAACCCTAAACCCTAACTAAACCCTATAAACCCAAATTAAACCCTAACTAAACCCTATAACCCAAAACCCAAACCCTAAACCCTAAACCCTAAACCCAAACTAAACCCTATAAACCCAAATTAAACCTAACTAAACCTATAAACCCAAACTAAACCCTATAAACCCAAACTAAACCCAAACTAAACCCTATAAACCCAAACTAAACCCTATAAACCCCAATTAAACCCTAACTAAACCCTATAAACCCAAACTAAACCCTATAAACCCAAACTAAACCCTAACTAAACCCTATAAACCCAAACTAAACCCTATAAACCCAAATTAAACCCTAACTAAACCCTATAAACCCAAACTAAACCCTATAAACCCAAACTAAACCCTAACTAAACCCTATAAACCCAAACTAAACCCTATAAACCCAAATTAAACCCTAACTAAACCCTATAAACCCAAACTAAACCCTATAAACCCAAGCTAAACCCCAAACCTTGATCATGGTGCTCCTAAGCTCCGACGTTTGCGCGAGAAGTACGGTTGATGATATGACCCATAATATAAGGAGTATACCATAATTCCCATAGTTTAGGGTCCTTAAGGTAATGCAGGATTTATATCATCAACCGTATGACAAAGATATGTTTGACATCGTGACGGTGGTGTGATCAGGTGTCCTTTATCTGTGCTTGTGATTAAGGTGAACAATCAAATGAATGAAGCCTACTGGGTTCGGGGCTTGGGGTTTAGAAGGTTTCAGGGTTTTTTCTTTGAACTCCTTTTTGCACCTGCCTGTTCATCCAAGCGAGTACAAGACGCATATGCATCTCTGGGTTTAAGGATTAGGGATTATGGCTTAGGGTATCCGGGCTAGGGTTTCGGGTTCAGGGTTTGGGTTTAGGGTTTAAGTTTTTAGGTTACGGTTCAGGGTCTAGGTTTTGGGGTTCAGACTTTCGGCGCTTCCTCTCGGACAAGCCAGGCGAGGCTATTGGTGCTGAGTCGGTTGAGGTGAAACCTAGGTCTGCGATGGATTGGTTTGGGTGCAGAACTCAGGGTTCTGCGTTCAGGAAGCCTTTCCCATTGATCAAGTCTCAGCAGACATATCCGAGCCAGTTATGGGGCAGAACCATCTGACTTGAAGCAGTGTAGTTGGCTTCTTCCCGGCCCGGCCATACAACAAATGCACGCGCCGTACTTCAGCCAGTCTGCTGGGCACCTACTGGACCTAGTGTTTACATGAACACACCCTAAACCCTTCATGAGCCCCTATGCTTCCAACGTCCTCCGAGCAAAGCAATACACTGCAAGTTATGGGAAAACAGTAAGCTGAACGCCTCCAGCAATCAATAAACTTGCATGATCTTAGCATTCACTGTTGGGGTAGGGTGCGGTTGTTAGAACCATCCCACGGTTTCTATTGTTCCACGTCCTGAGCAACCAGGAACGATTCTCAATTTGGTGCGTTCTTCAACAGAGAAACCAGTCCACTGCTTGCAAAGGGGCGGAGCTGTTTCGTCCAGGATTGCCTGGCGCTCGCATATTTCCACATTTCTACGAGCAGAAAGAGTCCCGTGATAGCGCAGCAACACCAGAAACTACAACACTTTGAATAAACCTCTCTCAGACCGCCTCAGACCCAAGCGAGACTTGGGACGGTAATTGCAGTGGCATGCCTCAGACCGAATTGAAATTCTTAACGTCCCTTATATGTAAGGCCTTTGGTCGAGCTTTGGGGTTCGGCCCTGTTCGACTGCGGGCAAAGTGCCTTATGGATCCCTACAGGCCCTACATGACATGCCCCGACTTCACGGGGACCAGATTAACAATATACCCTTAATGCCGAAACCCCGGAACATTAGCCATCCCATCCAGCCTTGATGCATGGATATTTGAGGACCCCGTACTTGCCGTACTTGTGACATGGGTAAAAAAAACCAGATACGACTTCCACTTGCTTCCTGCGAGCTGCCGATTTTCAGATCCTGAAACTAAGCCGATCTGGAAGTCACAAACTCAGGATATCTGCAGCAACAACAACAAATGTGAAATACACTTAGGAATCTACTCCAACACATACCCTTCGGGCTCTATGTGGGGTCATGCCAGGATGGCCCGGATGTCAGTCATGGCTTTGCTGTCGACGTCCAAGAGCTGCTGAAGAAGAGCGACCCGCTGGATGCCTGTCCGCAATGGTTGTCATGAGGATTATTCTCGTTGTATGTTCTTCGTAGGTTCATGCTGAGGCCAGCACAATTGCTACCGGCGCCCTATGCATGGATGCGAGATTGCGAAGGAAGGCAAAATGCTCAGAATGATCATGGCAAACACGCAGCCATGATACACCTAGCTGCTCCTGAATTGGCAAAGGTTCTATCTAAACTGCAAAGGTTTTAAACGTAAACATGCTCAGGAACACAGAAACAGCAACAACATGACATGATGATGACAAAAGGCGGCAGCAAGAATAGCACTTCGCATCGTCATGATCAGAGGCAACATCACGGACCAACATCGCGGTGAACAGCTCTTGGCTCGGAAACTTCAAGCCAGGCTATCTCAGCAGTTCAATTGATTCTTCGTGGGGTTCAGGGTTCATGCCTATTGCATCTGCAGCCGGTATTTATAAAGGAAATGCTTTAGAACATATATGTATATGTATATACATAAATACATATATACACACATACAGTACCTGTGCCATAGTCATGGATCCTATGCTTTTCCTCTTCTTGCCTCGTCGTCTGAGGAGCCTACGCACGTGTACATGTTGCTTGCCTGCATCGATGCCAAGGAAGAGGGGGCCGGAAGGCGACCCATTCAACGCTTCGTCTGCCATTGTCAGACCTGAGCTCAGGCTGAATTGATAATGAAGTGGCTTTACAAAAATAACAAGGTTTCGAAGCACAATATAGTATATAAGTATCATACGGAACTCAGTGGAAGATTCTGGTTCTTCAAGCGTCCATGATACTTGCTTTTTCTTCAGGCTTTCGGTGCCTGTGAGCGCATACCTTCGCATGGTTCGCCCGTGTGCTCCCCAAGCCGTTAATGCCGTAGAGCGCTCGGTCATGGCCGTCACAGCCCAAACTCGAGTTGCAATTTATGCCAGTATGATAAGTTAGGATAGACTATGTCGTGTGAACAGTTGACTCTGAATCAGACAATTGAGCAAGCGGTCTCTGGCATCCGAGCCGCTGTGGCACAAAACCTCCTGGACAGCCACGGTGAAGGTCTCCGACCTCGGCTCTGTCTGTGCCATAGAAGAAACAGCTTCAGCCGCCTTTGTCCTCGAAGCATCCGTCGGAGTGCTTGAGTTGAACATGTAGATAATAGATACACACACACACACATATATATATATATATATACACTGCATATTTTCTATATATATGTATATATATGTATACACACAAGACCTATGCAAAGCCAGCAGAACCGGCAAAGGGGCTCCAGTCGAAAGTCACATTGCTGACTTCGGATTCGTCCAGCCCCCCAGAAACACGAAGCGACAGTCCACCAGCCGCCCGAAGCCCAAAACCCCAAAGCCGAGAGAAACCTTCGCTACTAAGATGCGCTTGGGAGTTGGAGCAATGGCCCGGGTTCCGGGTTAGGATATCTAGGTCAAACAGAGGTCCCTTTTTAGTTACCCTAAATAATAGGTGCCGTATTATAGTAGGGATCCAAAAAGGGACCATAATTTTGACAAGTAGGCTTTAGCTTCTCCTCCTCCACCTGCTCAAAGCCCCTTGCTCCGCTAGATTAGATAAGCGAACAGCAAACCCCTTCCAGATCTCCGCCCAAAAAGCACCTTCGAGCCGGCACTAAACGCCTAAACACTGAATTCGGGGTTTAGGGTTGGCACTCGTTACTGTTCACAACTGTTTAGGGGTTTAGGGTCCAGGGAACTGCGGAACTGTTGACTTAGAACCCTAAACCCCTAAACTCTAAATCCTACACCCTAAACCCTATAAATCCTAAACCCTAAAAAGCCCTAAACCTTACATATGTCAGAACATACCGTAATAACAAAGGCCCTGACCGAGTGTAGACTACGAAGATGGCGGCCAGACCAGCCTCAGAGAAGGTGGACGAATGGGTTGCCCTAAGGTCCATGTACTCAAGTGGGGTTCTATAAGGGTTCCATCACGAGTACTGTATGGATTCCATAAGGGCGTTGGGGTGTATAGGGTGATAAGCGGGTCCATGTACCCAAATCAGTATTCTTTCCTGTTGGGGCACAGGGGCCCCTAGGGTTGCCTATACTTGATGGAGAGGGTTACATATGGGCTTGAAAATATTAGCTGAAGGGTTGCATAGAGTTTGTTGAGGGCTTTCATATTGTCGCTCCTGTGTTGTCTTCAGATTTGGGCATACTCTGGGCTCCCTTTGTTGTGCTTAGGCTTCAGGTGGGCTTTACGTATCGAGCACGAATCTTGGAGATGCAGCCTTGGATGCAAATGGGGTGAGCCTGTGTTGGGTTTTACGGCTGTTCCGAAAATCACCATCGTAAAGGCACCGATGGACCGTTTCCAACAAGGACTGTCGCTTTCGCGTCTTGAGGTTATTGAAGCCTGATAGTAGCTGTTGGACCCGGACGCTCAGCCAATATGTACCGTTGCATTCATGCTCGAGGCCTGCGCAACTGGGGGACATCCTGCCGCTGTGAGCCGAAGGATCACGTTGTTCGCGGTCGTCAGGAAGAACGACAAACCCGATCTCAAACCTATTCGCGAAGTTCCTGATCTGGCTCCCTTACCAGATTTCTTTACACCGCAGGGTTTTCTGTCGTGCAATTGAACTCTGTCTGAAAGCCCATGAATCAACCTAAGCCTGCGAACAACCCGACTCCCAAGCCGTATAAGCCAAACAAGCCCTGTGCCCTCGGTGTGACATAAACTGTGGCCCGGGGGCAATGACGCCAATGGGCACCTGAGAGAAATCTTGGACCGACAAGTTGGCTCTGTGATTCCAGAAGAATTCCACTATTGCCTCCAAAACTCTCAGATGTTGCGCAATACAAGGGCCTGAGTAATTAGAATAGGTTTTTGAATCCCAGTATACTATACTCATAAGAAGACACCCAACAAAAGTTTGTGTTGGTAGTTATTTAGGCTTCCACATTACCCTCCCTCTCCATGCGTGCCCGCCTGGCCCATGTGCACTCTGATCCTGCTGACTAGGCCCTGAAGTGGAGAAGATGGTTCAGGGACGGGGCTCACGATGTGAAGCGCTTCTGACAGTTGGTAACATTAGAATAAAAAACTAGCACGATCTTCGGGCTCCCGATTAGTCTTACGGAAACTTCCCCCAAAACCCTCTTCTAACTGTTACGGCTCATATATATATATATAAACAAAAAATATATGTGTATATATATATATATATATATATATTGATACACACACTTACATATTTAGACATACCTATATATATATATATATATACACACTCAGATAGGGTTTCTATTTGAGGGCTTTTGGCCTCCGATCGCCAGGATCTCAGAACTTACTTGCGAATGCCAAGTAGCCAGGCAGGCAATGGACATCTTCCTGGGATGAGAGCAGCGTGCCCTTTTTCCCTCCTACCTAGCAACGTGCCCTAGGGATTGGGGTTTAGGTGGGGTGTTACGCGGGGGTTCAAGCCTTGAGGCCTGCAAGCGTACATTTGAGCACTGTTCTGTCTGCTAGCCTGAAGCTTTCGCGCCTCCAACTTCAACCACATGCAAGGATAGATGGCATGAACGTGTAAACGGTTTAGGTTTCGTCAGAGCGAGAAGGCTGCGAGGCAACACAACGATACAGTATCACAAAGCTCGTGCTCTCATGAGATTTGAGCTGCGCCACTGCCACAGCCGCACGCTGTAGGGTGCCTTTCTCTCGGCACACAAACAACCTCGAGGAAACGAGGGTGCAGCTTGAGACGTAGGGATGGACTTAGGATGGCTTCGCCTTGTGATTTATATACCGAAGGGATTCACATACCTCCCCAGGTGCCTGGTAGTAGTGGCTTTACGGTGTTAGTTTTGTAAGGAGCTTGTGCTGTTCCAGCTGATTATGCTTCTGCACTAGATCTGCAGCAGGATCAGTGGAAGCTTGGATGACAGCTTCTCTGAGGTCTGTGCAAAATTACCGGGTCAGGGACCAAGTCGGATGCGCTCAGGTGTCTAGGGTGTGGATATGCCAAGCTTCTTAAGCGCGGGGATATATAATGATGTGTGCATAGATATGTACTTACATTTACATATATGTAGAGATTGTTCTACTCCCTTATCACTCCCAATGTTGGATATTGTGATGGCTTTTGTTGCTAAGTTTAGTACTACTAGTACTCTTCGTGCTAGTATTTGTGCTGCTAGGAAAGAGAAAGGGCTTTAGATTCAGGGTAAGGGTTGAATGATGAATGCATGCTAGGAGCATCTGCGGCAGCAGCGGCACATGCCTGTGCAGCAGCAGACCTGGGAGCTTCAGAAAACAGATCTTATAACGTGAGGACCCAAAATCTCGGTAGCACTTAAACAAAAACCGGAAGGTTGGGATGTCCCGAATAATAACATACATAATCCTCTGTAGTTAAACCAATAAGGAAAGCCTCAAGAAAATTCAAGACACTACACAAGACCGCAACACTGGGCGTTTCGGAAAGCAAAGGACCCTACACTAAACCCCAAACAATAAGATCCTGCTTTTCAGACCTAAACACGGTACCTCAAATTGAAGGTATTTGTTTCCTATTTGGGTCAAGGCTTGAACTAGACGAGACCTGAACCACCTCAAAGCCTTCGACCCACTAGACGTGCAAAGACTCTAGGAGGGCTACTACCCATAGGCCCCAAAGTAGTTCCTTTTTGGGATTACCTAATAGGATTCTATACATGAACCCCAAAAAGGAACTACTTTGGGGCCTATGGGTAGAGGGAATACTGGGCTTGGTTAGTGCTATTCGGTATTACTTCAAGGCATTAAAACGAGCAACCCAATAAAACAAGCCAACATCCTGGACTGGAGCTGGACCGTCGTTGGGTTCTCTTGCAATGAAGCCGACGAGCGGCCCCCAGCGTTTACGGGATTGTAGTTTTGGGGCTCTGAAAAGTATTTATGAATGGGTACCTCTTTAGGAACCTTTCGGGAAATCTCAAAGTTTCCCAAATTTCCACCTAGTTTAGGTCTTAGGGTTTATGGCCAAAGTTTAGAGATTGGGACTGGCAGGGGCGATGACCGGAGAAGCAAACAAGAGGTGCAGCAACAGGTGCTGCAGTGCAGCCGCAGCAGCAGAGGGCTCAAGCAAGGTTGTTAGCACAAACACAACAGAGCACGCACCGTAAAGCCTAAACCAATTGCGAACCGTAGAGCCTACACTTGTGAAAATCTGTTGCCTGCTAACTCTGGAAATTCTGTTTTTCTTGAATATGCGTTTCGGATCCGTTTGGAATCCGTTTTGGCTCGGTTTTGGGATGCGATTGGAATCCAACCCAGCCGGCCCCAGCCGGCCCGGCCAACGGATCCAAAACGGATCCCCCAACGGATCCCCCGACGGACCCCCAAACGGACCTCCAGACGTCCTGCGGCGGATCCCCGAACCCATGTTTCACTCGAGAGGGATGCGTTTTTGATCCGTTTTGGATCCGTTTGCAGATCCGTTCGCGAATCCCTTTTGGGGTCCCGCCGGGGCTGGGGCCAAAACGGATCCCCAAACAGATCCCCAAACGGATCCAGAACAGATCAAAACGCATTCCCGCATGCATGTAAAACGGATTATTGGGCTTCTGCACAACCGGCCAGTGCTAGCAGAACCAGATTTTCACAACCCTACTCCTTAAGCCCGATTTTAAGCTTTACACTCCAACAAGTCGACACCCAGCCATTTTCCAGCCCTGGCCTGCCACACAAGCATGAAGAAGAGACCGGCCATGATGGGCGAGCCTTAGGATTCAGGGCTTGGGGCTTTGGGAGATCAATCGTGCAGAGCTTAAGGCTTAAGGATTTGAGGGCTTAGGGTTTAAGGGTTTAGTTTGCGGCTTTCGCCCCAAATGTGTGGTGTGTGTGAGAGTGAGCGCGTCGCCATCCAAAGACCTCGAAGGCTCGCACACGCACTCCAGGCAAGGCATGCTTGTGATGGACGTCCTGGTTGCCGGCGATGCCGCCTGTGGTCTCCCTTGTGTTTCCTTTTTGGGATAGCTAGCTTTAAATGATAGGATCCTATAACATAATAAATCTTTGGCTAACAACAACGAGGAACTACCATGGAGCCTCTGCTTAAACATCAACATCCAATCCCACTTGAACATAATAACAAAGACTTGCGGCTTTCCTCCAGAAAAAGTCCCTGACAATGAGACTTACACGACGTACACCCGACTGCACCAAGCATGACGAAGGTCGCACTGACTGAGGCAACTTCCCCCTAAACCCTAACTTAAGCCCTAACCGCCAAACGTTCCCCTGAAGCAAACAAGGTTCCTGTCTTGCCGTGGGGGCTAAGTTCGTGTTCGCCGTTAAGACCCCGCGCTTCGCTCATGGCCGCCAGGTGGCCGAAAAGGAGCAGGCTAAAGAGGTACTCCTGCCGGCATCAAAGGAATGCCGAGCACAGAACGACCGGTGTACATGCAACAGGCAAGCTGACAGGAATTTACAAGAAATGAAACAACGACTAGGGATACCAGCGCGGGTACAGTGAGTAGTCGGTTGGAACGTACATCGTCCGAAGCAAAAGTTTATTTCATGTCGGCGGTGCAGAAGGACAGCACAATACACATGCAGGTTCCACGTGGTAATTATGCCCCCAGTCGGCTAGCCTGTATGGGTGTTAAGTTTTGAGTACCATGCTTTCGAAGCAGAGGCAAGCAGCACCACAGAGAAGCACAAGAGCCGCATCATGTGATAGCCCAGCGGAGACTACTGGAAGACAGCTTAATTCCGCTCACTCTAGGGCCCTTCAAATTGGAGATCGGGAAGGACCTCGAAATCCAAAAAGCCTGAACCTGCTGCATGTCCAAAATTGCGATCGAACCCTATACCAACAGAACTACAGCAACCAGAACCCAAAGCTTTGGTGGCTCAGTGCTTGATCTTGACCTTGATATACCTACAAGCAAAGCTGGGTGCTAAGCGCAGGCGCATGCCTGAGGTTGTGCCTGCACGCCTTCCATGTGGATTTCAACTAAGCCTCACGTGCGGGTAATTGCTCTGAAGATGCATGGAGAAAGACACCCATGTATACTATCGGGGGAGTACTTCCGATTGGCTTTGGGCCCGGAGATGCAGTCAACGGTCGTGCAGCCCAACATCCGAAGTTCACCCGAGTATTCACAACACTTGCAGAAACCTCCTTATGACTCATCGTCAGCAACATCATCATCGTAACCCAGCAGGCTAGCAGCAACAATCAATACTCGTGTCAGGACTAAGCAGCCACCACGCTCCTCGAGTTGCGTGCTGCATTCGCCTGAGGTAGACATTTCACTTAACTCGAAGCCAACAGCTTGAAGACTGTCCCTTGCAACATACAAGCATGGAGCCACTTAGGTAATATTATGGAATATGCACTTGGGCCTGAAAAGGCGCACATAAGTCTTACGGTACAGTAACCTTTGCATACGCTAACCTAAACCCTGAACCCTAAACCTTACAATAAGGACCCTAGTCTGGACCACTTCCAGGGACACGGAGCAGACGAGAAACTCAAGAGAGCAAAGGGTTCTTTAAAGGGATCTATCAGGGCTCTATAAGGAATACACCTTAAGTCATATTCGGAGATCCTATTAAAAGGCGTAATCGTAATCGTAATCGTAATAGTAATAGTAATAGTAATGGTAATAGTAATAGTAATAGTATTAGTAACTTCGGCAACTTTACATGTGTGGCCAAAGAGAAGCGGCTTGTGGTTGTCCCTTTGTCCTTCTCTCCCTCCAGCCTTCCTTGGAATATTATCCCTCTCCCGCCCCGATTGAAATACTCAGTTCTCCTTCTCGCCCCGATATGAATCGTGTAGTGGCAGCAACAACTTCTGATACTTTCCGCCCCGAGTCTTCACGGCCAAATCGCGTGATGTGTATACACATACACACACACGGATACACACGTGTGCATGATTGCGCACGTATATGCGTACTCGTAAACATCCAGAAACGAATAGAAACAACATGCTGCTCCAACAGCGCCTGCTACATGAGAACATATGTAATTGGGAGCTATGTCTCAATGTCTAGGTGCATTAAGGCATCTACTCTGGAGAACTCTTTCTCGATGTCTTTTTGCAGACTTAAGGAAGATCCTAAGATGGTTGGTGATTGGTTTGGTAGTCGTTCATGTTTGCTGCTGCTCCTACTACTACTACGACGACGACTACTACTGCTGCTACAACAACAACTACTACTACGACTACTACGACTACTACGACTACTACGACTACTACGACTACGACTACTACTACTACTACTACTACTACTACTACTACTACTACTACTACTACTATTGCAGGCTTGCCCGAAAGAGATGCAAGCGGATTGTCTGAGGCCCTGGCTGGAGATGATGGGCTCCACCTTATATCGGATCAGGGTTCAGGTTCGAGTACAGGGGTCTTAAATTCTTTGTTGGGGGAGGGGGGTGGGTATATTGTGCTATGATACAATTACATACATTCTCATCGCATGCTATAAATGTATGATATCCTTCGCCTCTCGCAGCTTTGGGGCTCTGAGATCGTAGGTTTCAGTGTCACGGCTCCCTTGCACAGGTCCCACTCATCTAACTTAAAACACGATGTGCCAACAATGTTCTTTTGGGCGACAGTGCTAACCCTATTTAACTGCAGCTTGTATGGAACATGGCCGGATGCACAAGTTTCAAGTTGATTATGCTGCTGGTAGTCATTGAGTTGTGCTCGGCTTTACCAAGATACCGCAATGTCGGAAGATCGCCACAGCGCCCAAGATGTGCTTAACGTCTAGGAGGGTAGATACATTGCTTGATTTCGCGTCGACGTCCGCGTACAAGGAATAGGACACGTGCGGGAACACAGCATGTGTGAACGAACGGAACATACAATGGGTCAAAGGAATCCATCTTTGTTCAACATGCAGGTTCACCCTAACCCCTAGACCCTGAACCCTAAGCTCCAAAGTGCTTAACCCTCAATCTTAAGCTCCGTTTTCTCACAAGATCTCAGCCGGGTGCAATCGCGGCCTCTTCTCGAGCATCCGGCTCTGTGGCAAAACAATGACATAGGGGCCTTCCTAGCCAAACAAAGGTTCCTGCTCAATGGGTTCTCTGTAAGGGTTGCTGTATTCGAAGTATGTTTGCGACACGGAACCCCAAGAAATAGTATGGGTAATTGTCGAGGCCCCTATATAATGCCAAGTAAGGAGCGCTGGCAAGGTACTCCCTGGGCCACGACGTCCTTCTGCGTCGACGACTAAAGGACATAGATGACGGAACCATACATGGATGTCTTCTCTATCGAGAAGCAGTGCGTCGAGGAGTCAGCAAGTCAGCAAATGGGTCAAATGGTTTGAACAGCAGAACTTTTTGTGGCGACTACGTGCTGGAGATCATCTGAATATCCGGCATGCCTCCTCTGTCTGCGATCCTTGGAAACGTGATCCCCGACTTCTGGAGAAGCTGGCATGGCGCTCAAAACAGTTTGCCGCAGGAGCCTCAAGCCGGGCGATCCTAGACCAAGCCCTTACCTAAACCCACCAAAGCAGGTGAAAGAATGGCCCAAATACCCTGAAAGGCTAATATTCTACATACTTTTGGGATCCAGGTATATGTCCTTAGTCTTCAACCCTCAAAACAAAATCACAGGCCCGGTCCAACAGTTCGAGACCTGGCCGATGTGCAACATGATGCTCGAAAGCCTAAGCCTAAGCGTTGCTCTTGAATTGTGACCTATTCAGCTTGTGTCAAATGTCTGGCAAGCTCCACTGCCGTCAACGACTGTCGCATCCGTGTTTCAATAGCTCTCTAGTCTCACGATTCGCCCTCAAACCCCGCACCCAGCAATAGTGCACCCTATGAAGCCCTCTCTCGCTCGTGCTCGCTCTCCCTCTTCATATCTACCTATCTATCTATCTATCGATCTATCCATCTATGAATATGAATAAATCACGTAATCAATAAACAAATAAATTTGAGGTAAAACACTCTCTCTATGTAAAACTATACGTACATACACTTGATATACACGCTCTGGCACCACCCAGTAGAGCCCTAGTCAAGTTCTTAATGCTCTCTGTGATGGATCCTTGACAAGCCTCGACGGCTGGCAAATGCGCAGAGCGGCCAGCTGCAGAAGCTACTATAGGGGCCTTAGTAATATGGTTTTGGGGCCCATTATGCCAAAGTTATAGTAAGGAACCCCCGAAATAGCATTGGTAATTATTAAGGCCCCTATATTACTCTGACTGCACAAACCTGCACAGGCTCCTATCAGGCCACCTCACGTTGCCTGCGTTTGCAGCCAGCAAACTCAGCGAAAGTGGTTCAGCATAGCTGCCTCGGATACGATGACTTTTTGCACGATATGTGTCGGCGTTTCTCTTCAACATAGGATCCACCATTTCCACAGCTCCCTACCAGTGTTGCAAGCTGCCTCTTGATTTATGTGGCTGTCTGATTCTGTCTCCCTAGACTACAAAGCCTACCAACAGACTACATAAAGCTCATGCAAAATACCGCCCGGACGTGTGCATGCACTTATATAGCCGGCACCACAAACGACCCTGCAGCCTCCTGAACATCCATTGCAATGGCCAACCCCGAAATCCGAAACTCTTTCCTTCGTTGGGCTGTCTCTTTCTCACCCCTGCTTAACTAACCCTGGAATAACTTTATCAAGATATCTTGAACTTCCTGCTGTGGAAGCTGACAACAACACCTAGGACCTCGAGAACGATCCTCCTGTTCAGTGCAAACGTGAAGAGATATCATGTCTTCGGGTAGCTGCAGAGCTACGTTCTGTCGCAGGTTGAGACTGCCTGTCGAGTGGACAACTACCTCTGTGCGCGCAGGTTAGAAATTATGCTGCGCCCGGACCGCGAAGAATGCACCTCAACCTTCCTAAAAGGAATAGCAACCACCAACTGTTGATGGAACTACGCCGATGTCGCCAGATAGCATTGCCGATTTCATCGACTACAGGTTTGAAAACCACCCACGCCCTGTCAAAACGGCTGTCGCAGTCCCTATCACAATCCGCGTGGCCCCAGCCAGCGCCCAAAGTCCTGGAGCCGTCCAACGGCTCGCACTGAACATGCCTTGTTCCGGCTTTGATTTAGGGCACACCGAAAAACTAATTCAGTCAACCCGACGAAACCCAACAAGTTTTTGACAGTTTCCGAAGATAAGGGGTACCTTGTTTTGGGGCCCGTATAGTAAGGATCCTACTATTTAGGGTCCTATAGGCTCACAGATTGACCACTCGGAGCAACGTTTCTGAAAGCCTTACTGTAACCCTAAACTCTTCAGGGCCCCCCAAGCGCCCTTTAATAGAGTCCTTATGGCCCTCATATAGTGGGTATTTGGGGTATAGTACAGACAGGGAATAGTTGGGGGGTCTAAATTCGGTCTTTGACTTTCGGATCCTGCACAATTCGAGAACTCTTCGTAACGACTCCAATGCTGTCCTGTCCTACTGCATCAAACGAGTTGCCGCCCTGGAGCCAGAGGTTTCTGATATCACCCGAACTTTTGTAAGACGAGGAGTCTGCCACCTGGGCACTGGCATCATTGCTTGTAGTCGTGGTCATTGTGTTGGTCGTGTTCTCGTCCCCGACACTGGTGATCCCCACTCCACCACACTCCGTGCCTTGACCTCGGGAAATCGTGTGGGGTTTATAGGGCTTAGGGGTTCAGGGTTTAGGTCGTCTGGGAGATCATGTATACAATAAATGACAAGGTTTAGCTAAACTGGGATGTGTTCATCTAAATAGGCCCGACGAGCGCTGCTGTCCAGCCGCTTACCACCTGTGAGTCGTCACGCTCTCAGCTGAAGCTTTGATGTGTGTGTGTGTGTCTCACTCCATCATACAAGGGGAAGCGATAAACTGACGGCGCTCCACCATCGAAAGACCTAGGCTAATGCACGAAGTTTCCTGAAACAGACAGGAAGATAGACTACAGGTGGCTAAGGTTTACACAGGGTATAGGTAGTATAGGGCTTATAGGTACTATAGGTATATCTTCAAACTACGTACTCACACAAACAATTAAGCAAACATGTGGTTGAACTGGGAATTTGGGGCGGCTTTTATCCTCGCAGCTCAGAGGCCAAGAGGTGAGCGTTGTTCAAATTACGGGATTCGGGCAATGTGTGGATTTGGGGTCTTGCGACAGTCACAGGGCAACGGGCTGTGAACTCACTAAGATGTAAAGTTTGGGGCGCTTCCGCTGAGACCTCAAACAAGGCTGATCGACTTTAGTATTTACAGGGTTGGGCCTTTAAACCGTGTTTCCGGTGAAATCACCTCACGTCTGAGGCGGCCGACCGCAAGCCCACAAGTAGGATGCCCACACGCATGCACCTTGCATTTGGCAAGCTGTCAGCGCGTTAAGTGCATAGTTTTGGGTGGACTTCAAAGGATCTCCCCACGGCTGTTGTAAGCATCTGTGTGAGTTCCCATTGCCGCACCCTGCGCGCGCTTCCGAACTCATGATAGTCTAGGCACAACCACCGTCGTTCATCGACTGGCAGTAGGAGGCATTGGTGCCGTCATAGTTCGCGCAAGTGGTTGCTTTCACGGCCACTGAGAGCTGCAGGAGAACCTTACAGTGCTGACTCGCACGTTTAACTAAGGTCAACCGTTTGGGATCTAGCCTTTCGGGATTAGAGTTTCAGGCCCTGCAGCCTGAAGACCCGACTATAGGGGCCTTAAAAAATTAGAATAAGATTTTGGGGCCCAGTATATTTAATTGCTATAATCATAATAAGGAACCCCCAAAATAGTATGGGTGCTGGCGCTTCATTGCAGTGCAGTAGAATAACTTCCGTGCTGCGTCACGCGGTGCGGGACTCCCAAAAGTCCTTCTTCGGTGCGGGCCGGGGGCTCCTGATTTCAGATGCTTTTATCGACCCCAGGCCCCTATTCTGATTATTCAGGTCCCCATGGCAAGGTGGTTTAGGACTTCTATATAAAATCCCGATTCCTGCAGGATCTTGCTTCCAGGAAGTGGTCTAGCTGCGATTGGCTCCGAAACCGTTTAGGGTGTAGAGCTTGCGGTTTAGGGTTTAGAGCTTGGGGTTTAAAGGTTTAGAGTTTACGGTTTAGGGTGACCCCCCGTCCTGGGAACTCCACTCTCTTTTACCACAGCCGCACAAACTCTTCGGAAGAACTCGAAAATCCCATGAAGCCTCCCGTACCTTCTTACCTGTCCGGCTGTACAGGGACCGGAGCACCCGAAAAAACGGTTACAGAGCGCGACGCGAGTCTGAGTGCGCTTCGCGGGGTGTGATACGAATGGGTCGGGACTTGGAGGCCCGGAACTACTGTTGATGAAATGAATCCATAAGGACCCAAAACTTATGGGAATTATGGTATATTCCTTATTATGGGTAATGCAGGGCTTTACGGGCTACCAGAAGGATCTAATATAGGGCCTTGATAATTAGAACATGGTTTCGGGGCCCACTGTGCTACCTAAACCCATAGGCTCCATAGTAGTTCCTTTTTGGGATTACCTTATAGGATTCTAAATATGAACCACAAACATGGAGCCTCTATGAAACACCCCCGAAACCTTAAGCCTTGAACGATCTTAAGCCCTACACCCTGAAGGCTTCCCCCACGAAGATGTCGAGGAACCACGGCTGAGGTCAACCTCACCATGACCACTGCGCAACAAGTGCCTTCCTTGCTGAAGTGGCGGCGATTGAAGCCAGGACAGCTGCGGAAGGCGGTATAGGGTTTAGGGCACGGTTTAGGGTTTAGGGTTTAGAGTTTAGGGTTTAGGCGTTTGGGCTTAAGGCCTATGTGCTCTCGCAACTCGGACAAGCCAGACGAGGTCTCTGGGTATGCTTATGGCTTTGTTCACTCCGCCTTAGCAGGGACGAAGAGCTTGGGGCTTTTAGGGCTTAGGGTTTATTTGGGTCTATATGGCTTAGGTTCTGTATCGGCTCAAAAGGCTTACGGCCTGCATGGGCTTATCGGGTTTAGGGGCATCGCATCGTCAAGGGCCTGCCAACTTATATCCATCATGTTCTTATATGTCGATTCTGTGTGGGTATGTCCATCCGTAACAATACATAGAGAAACAGACTTTGTACTTATCTGTATGGAAATGAATGAATACATCAACAGTCTATCTGTTTGTCTATCTATCTATGCCTATCTGCATGCTGTAAATATGTAGACTCATGGTATGTATATATATATATACATATATAGATAGAGCGAGAGAGAGAGACAGAGAGAGAGAGAGAGATAGCGAGTTCACCTAAACTAGTGCGTGTTTCCCCTTTCACTTCACAGGCCTTTTCCATTACAACACCTCTCCCCGTCGACTTTCAAACTCGATCAACATAAGCCCGACAGCCAAAGTCCGAATCATCACCTGGGAGAATCCGAAAACAAGGGGTACCTTATTTTGGGATCCTTATAATAAGGATCCTACTATTTATATCAGGATCATTTATTTTTGGAAACTCCCATCTGTATTTAATCAATGCTTGCAAGATTGTTGAAGATTAGGGCTTCATGATTTGGCAGCAATAGGTTGGTCACTTTCGGGCGCAGTATGCAAATAAATGTCAAAGACAGTTGAAGCACGAACGGAAGATGTGGCATCCATTCCTCCAGACCCTTGCTAGCACGAACTGAGATGGTCACTAGTGGGCAGCTTCTGAAGAGGTTCAGCAAATAGTCGTCGTCCCGGTATCCCTGGGTGGAACGGTTTCCGGATTTCGGGTCAACCGTGCCGGACCTCTACAGTATGGGCACCGGGCAACATCGCACAACAACGTGAACAAACACAGGCGCCCCTGGTTTAGGGTAGCCTCATGAACAAATCATCAGGGGCAGTCTGAGTAGGAATTTAAAGCTCGCGGACAAGGGACTCGAATCTCAGGCCGAAAGACAACTCCACGTCCGGCACCGACGAGCCTCGAACCCCAAATCCACAGATCCCAAACTTGAACCACCGCCCTAGTCGTTCTATAAGGGTTTAAGCTTTAGGGTTCTATAGACCCTACAGCCCTAAGCTTCTTGTAAGTATGACATGAAGGTTAACCGGTTAACTAAAACACCTATGTTCATAAGCCCAAGACGAACCGAGCCTCTGAAGTAGACTTCCCGGTCTGGGTGTAATTAGAAAGCCCTGAACCCTAAACTCTAAAACCCTAAACCCTAAACCCCAAAACCCTAAACCCTGAACTCTAAAGCCTAAACTCGAAACCCTAAACCCTAAAACTCTAAACCCCTAAACTCTAAACCTAAGATCGATGCTGAAGCCACAAAGTGCTGAGGAGCTGCTTGGAGAACACCCCTTGCCTCGGCACCCTCCTGTGGGTCGGCTCTTTGGTCGGGATTTGTTTGGAGTGTGTTGGGGTTTAGGGTTTAGGGTTTTAAGGCTTTGGGGGTTTGGGGGTTTCGGGCTTCAGGGGTTTAGGGCTTTACGGGTTTAAAACTTAGGGTTTAGGGGTTTAGGGTGTAGGGTTGTGGGGTGTTAGGCTTAGTTGCTGAGTTCATAAGTCTCAAAAAGTGTACACTTTCAGCTCTATAAGGGGCCAGATTATCAGCTAGTAAGTAGGGTTTCGGAATCAATGAGGGTTTGGGGTGTCAAGGTGTTGGGATTTTGCGGTGTAGGAATTCGGAGGTAAGGTTTCGGATTTAGGGAGGGCGTCGGATATCCGAATCTTTGAATTTGGGGTTCTGCCCTCGTGTTGTTTCAGATGCCTGTTACAGCAGGGTCTGGGCTTTGTGCTGGGGGCTTTCAGCTGCGAGCTCAACCAGTCGAGCTCTTGGCTTGGGTTCAGGATTCAGAGTTGAGGCTTTAATTAGGGTTTAGTAGAGGTGGATGCCAGTACCTATCTAAGCCCCGAACTCCAAGATCCAATATAGGGGCCATAATAATTAGAAAAGTGAGTGCAGTATATTTTATCATAGTTATAATAAGGAGCCCGCAAAACCCTATTCATTAAGGGCCCCTTTATTAGGGTATGGTCGGATGCAAACTTCAACCATAGACTTGCTTGTCTACAGGACGGAACCTCATCGGGAAGCAAAGGCGAATCTGGCAAGCCAAAGGCCAGTCCGGCGAAGCTTCACGACACAGGGCTTTTTCGGGTTTGTATTTTTCCCTAGGCTTACGGTAAGAGCCAATTTCAGGTCCCGGGTTATGGGGTGAGGCAATACCTCGTTTACCCAACACCTCACTATCATTAATAACGTTAATGCGTCGACCTTGCTGGAGCGCGTAATCCTATACTAACTAAGTCTCAACAGGAGTGCTCAAGACCCTAATCTTGCACCACAAGAAAACAACACTGTAAACCGCTAGCCCGAAGTCCCAAACTCAAAAGAACCCTAACTTGGAAGCATCAAGCACACAGAGATCGAGCCTGCTGGTCAAAAGGAGTCTGCGGGTATGCTGACCTTGGAAGATCCAGCAACTCTCTCAGGTATGTAGTCCTTCGTACTTGGGTTTTGCAACGGTACTATTCGGCGTTATACGAGCTTCATGACAGGAGCCGCCTTGACAGAGTCGGTAAAGCTCCAGAGCATGGCTTCAGGGTTCCCTTTCTGGTTTAGGGCTTCAGTTTCTTTTTATTCTGAAGGTGTTCTATAAGAGCCTGACGGGGCTCTGGTAAGTGTCTTCGTGGGCTTCAGAGTTTCGCAACTCTCTCCACTCCAATTCCTGCGGTCCAAAGAAATGAGAGCCACTGTTCGAGGCCCTACAACCGCGAAGCCCCTTGTTGTGGAACCCTTTTTTGAGTGAACTTACTGAACCCTTAAAGAACCACTACAAACTTTTTCGAAACTCCTGGCGGAACCAAAGGAATCGAAAGGAACCGTTGGCTGTGGGAGCTTTGGTGTGGGGTTTGGAATCACTGAGGTGCGACTTCTCAGGTTATGGCTTTTATGCTTCCTAGGGCTTAGAACTGCTTCTTTAGAGTTTGAGGCTGTGTGTCGTTTGGTCTTTTGATGTTCGTTCTAAGCTTCGGGTGTAGCGGTCGGCCTTTGGATTCCTAGGGGAAGGCTGCGCCCCGCAATCTCTGTAGACTTCCTCATAAGCCGAGAAAAGTTGCAACAATCCCCAAATTCACAGACAGCTACTTTGGGGTAAGCTGTACAGGCTGTGACTGCGATGCCTTCCGAATACGACCTTGCTCAATTCAGCTTGGAAGCCATACTGCTATGGACAACCCCCGACGGAGTTGGGAGGACAAAGGACATGAAAATCTCGATATTCAACGCTCGTACGTCTAGCCGGTACACGAAACCGACGATTCGGATGCGGAGAGCAAGATGAAAGTACGGGTCATAAGTTTGATTGTACTGACGACCACCATGATGATGATTGGTGCTGTAAGCGACCATGATGGCGAAGATAAGGAAGGCTTATGCAATGGTGCAGGCAAGCGGTCCTTCAGTTACAACGTCATCACGATGAAAGAAGTGTCATGCTTGCTTCGCATTTGTCTCCGGGATTCAATGTCTTGCTTGACTTCGTCATACCCTCAAGCGACGACGGTGATGATGATGCTGTTAATAGTGGTGTTCGTAATGACAATCTTGACGGAGATAACTGCGAAGAAGGTCGTGGTGGCAACCGTGTTCGCGGTGGATTGGATGGTGTCACAAGTGAAAACGATAAAGTTGACGAGCAAATTTGTGCGTTGGCATTCACAGTGATGGCGTCGGCGGCAGGTGTCGTGGGACGCTAAGATCTCAGATGCCCTCAAAGTTGAAACGCAGCAGTACCGAGCTTCCAACGTCTCATCTAGCACTGCTGGGGCAGACCGAACGTCCCGGCAGAAGTCGGCGCGATCCGCCTGGGAGGGCAGTCTGGCTCTAAACTCTCCCAATTGGGAGTTTCCGAAAATAGGGGACCCTAATATAGTACCCTATATAATAGGAATCCTTACTATAAGGAACCCAGAATAAGGTACCCTAATTTTCGGAAACTCCCAATTCTTAGTCATGGTCTTAAGCCAGCAGGGTCAGCCAGCAAGGTCCACGAATCCTCACACTGCAGCAGTTTCCCCCGAGGTGGATCTCACATCAGGGGGTGCAGGATGGTTTCGGGTTCAGGGAGTGGGTTCAGGGCTGCAAGAGCGTGATACTGATACCGGCTTGGCTCTTCTACATGTGACAATCCAAGGCGTTTGCGCATCAAGTCAAACCGAGGTCCTTACCTGCAAAGCCTCGAAATCCCAAACCCGTGCATAGTCTTTCTCTCATCAACTCTCTGCGATGCATGTGTATTCATGTGTAAAGCATGAATATGTTTGCTCGTGTATAACATTCGCGAACAAACAGCCGATCATGTCTACAAACCTTAAGGTGCATGTTTAAACACCTAGGGACATGTTTAAACATGTTCGATTATCGAGTTCGTGTTAAAAAGCACCTTGTTTATGTTCAACAAGACTGCAAAACGCAGTGTGAGCGGCTCACCTTTTTGGGCGCGAAGTAATTTTGAGATGCTGTGGTTGTTTCTGCAGCGGCGCACACAATATTTACGCCCTCTGATCTCTAGGGTTAGCAACCACTCGCCTCTTGGCAGACGCCAAGAAAACCTTCTGCGTAGCGATGTGTTGAGAACGGGTGAGGGTAGGGTCATGTTGAATCCGAGAGCCGCAACAACGGGCGACAGCCAAAGCAGACTGAACCTACGGTAAAGCCCAAAAATCAGAAGTCTGTTCACTTCAATCCCAAGCAAGACCGTCACCACCGGCCCACTATTCTTCAAGTTCTCATGCTGACAGCAAGCGCTCAACCAGGTATAGCTCCGCGCTGCCAATCCGAGTCCTGTGTCGGGCATCGAAGTGCGAAGCACATAAGCGGGGGGAAGCATTACTTCTATATATATATATATACACATGCAGATGTATGTGTTTATACGTATATATATATATATATATATATACACTAACTTTTTCTCCCCCTACCTACATAGTATGCTTTATTAAACCTGCGAATCGATTGCAGCTGCTGCGCTGCAGGCAGAACGAAGACGATGCAGTACCGGCTGCTGTCCTACATGAAACTGAGCCCCCAAACTGTAAATCCGTCTGCATTCAGAGGCATTTCTTTTGGCGTGGCGGGTGTCTGGTAGTTGATGCTTCGGACTTGAGGGTAGGCCGCGTGTTGATACGTGCGCTGTATTGCAAGGGCGTGCCGACCGCCAAGTCCAACCCAAATGCAATGACTCGTTAGGCGCCTGTATAGTTGGAATAGCGGTTTGGGGTATAGTCTACTATAGTAAGTCTAACAAGGAACCCCGATATAGCATTGGTAATTGCTCGGATCCCTCTAGGACAGGAGACAGCAATGCGGGTCAAACCTAGCACTACTCCGAGGCTCCTCGCCTTCACAAGCCTCAATACATGCAAACTTCAGCTCACCCCTGCACCATGTAGCCTGCGAACTAAGAAGCTCTAACGATCCTGAGCCCTCATTCCTGAACCATTTTGAACGATCCCTCCCTGAAATGCCAGCTCGAAAAAGATACCCTACCATAGAACCCTTGAGCTTTAACTAGAACAGAAACCATTTGTTTCATACCCCCGTGAGCTCAAAATGTGATCAACACCTGAACCTTTTTTCAAGCAGGAGCTTTTGATAAGAACTCTGAGCCCTAAACCCTTAGCCTAGAAATCTTGCAGCTGCCCCATGCCTTGGGCCAAGCTCCCATATGCCAAGGACCTTCGTGTGACCGGACCCAAAACACCGGAGTTTCAGCATTTACACTTAGGTTTAGGGTTTTATGGCGATTTTTAGGGCTTCGGAGGCCTAAAGAACTTACAGTAGATTTTTTTTGACACTCACACTCGGACAAGCCTGGCAAGGTCTGCAGAAGTAGTAGATTTTTAGGGTTCATGCTCCTCTATTAAAGGCTTTAGTGCATTCTGAGACCCAGGACAGGAGCACTCAACCGCTCTAACTTCTGGAGCTTGGGGGCGATCTGGTCTCGCAAACACTGCACTTTAGGGCTTTACGCTCTCGCAACTCGGAAGGGTTTCGGGTTTAGGCCTCCTAGACACTGGGAATATGGGGTATACTCAATCATAGTTCTACATCACTAAACCCTAAACCCTTTTTGCCACTTGAGTCCGCATGTCGGCCTCGGTCAAGATGATTGGGGTCTTAAACCCTAAACCCTAAATTGATAACCAAAAGAAGTGAATTGCAAAATTTCTTTGGCCCGTGCGATACTTCAAGAACCCCCCCCCAACTAAGGCCCCAGCAGCCAGATCAGACTCCCATGGCGGACGAGCCTTGGAGAAACAGAGCCGTGGGGAAGCGGGGAGGGCCTTTATAGGACGAAGGTTGCAGGGTTTTGGGGTTTGTGAGGTTTAGGGTTTAGGGTGCGGGGTTTTGGGGTTTGTAAGGTTTAGGGTTTAGGGTCCAGGGTTTTGGGGTTTTAAGGTCTAGGGTTTCGGGTGCGGGGTTTTGGGGTTTTAAGGTTTAGGGTTTAGGGTGCAGGGTCTTGGGGCTTTAAGGTCCGGGGTGGAAGGTTTAGAGTGTAGGATACGAGGCTCAGGGGCACGAGTCGCTGAACTTTGTGTATTGGATCTATAGTCACGTGGAAACTAACTTGGGGAAGTCTTCTTCATGTCATTCTTTTGAACAGTAGATACGACCCTACACTCTTACAGGTGGCATTCGCAGGCGGTGTGCTGCTTCATTTTTGGTATGGGTCGCTTTTCTGGATCTTCTTCTGTTGTGGAGGGGGGCCCTCATGCAGCGGAACAGGGTTTTCAGTATACTATAGTGTTTTTCTATGGAGCATTATTCAAAACACTAAGCCCACCCCCAACTCTTGGCCCTCTTCACTTTGTTTCTGGCAGCCCTTGCCCTGCTGCTTCTCCCTAGTCAACCCACCGTTTCTTGCCGGACAGGTATTCGGTCTAGCTCTGCACACCTCCTGAAAGTAGTTTCTGACTTTCGTGTCTCCCTCCCTCAAAGTCCCCTCTACCGGCCTCCGCGCCATACTATCAAACTCCCAGCCGCACGCCGTGCCAAACTGCGATAAGAATGCTCTGGCCACTGATTTCAAATTCCCCACGAGTCGTTCGGACGTCACAATTTTTCATCTTTCCAACAGTCGTTCAGGTCTGACTCTGTCCTGAAGTATTCAGAGTCAGCTTCCGGCTTGTTCTTGCCAACGGACTGGACATGAAAAGTTGTCTCAAAGCGTCCGAGATCGCCTGGTTTGTTCTTCAACCCCGATTCTGTTTGCCTGCACGTGAGCAGGCTGCACGATAATGGAAGAAGGCCTTTGCGGAAGTTCCTCCCAGTGATTGCTTCCCCACTGTGCTGCATCTCTTCTCATGCTGTCAATTCCCACTCTTGTCCGCGAAATTGTCAAGCTCATTCCCCTTCGTCCGCTCGGCACGAGCTACACTACACAACATCCGTGTTGCCTCCTCTGCCTACTATCTTCGAACCCTCTAAGATTAAGCCCTAGCTGAGCCAACACCCCCGCCTGTCAAACACAACTACCAATATCTTAAACATCGGGACACCGATACGCACCGCTCAGGAAATCAAACTTTAAAGCCATCGAACAACCCTCGGAAGGTTCCTTCACTGCCACCTGCCCGCCGGATCCATGTAACCATTTCGCGCATAATTCGGCTCTATGTGGGATCCTATACAGTAAATACTGTGGGAACATAGACCCCGTACCAAAAAACACGCACACGCACGCACACACATCTGTATAAACCTTAATAACCCTACGCCCGAAATCGAAACCCTGCACCTGACCCCCTCCCCACAATGGTCCTGCACCACTCCATCAGCTGCAAGGAAGCGTTGGGGTTGGTTCTTTACAGACTGTATCCGTTGGTTTAGGGATTCGGGGTTGGAGGCTTTTGGGATAGGGTTCGGGCTCAAGGTTTCAGGGTTTCATGGTTCACGGCTTCAAGGTTAATAGGATTTGGGTGTGTGTAGGGCTGTAGGTTGCAGGGCGGTTTGTGAGCTCTGTGGATGCTGTTTCGAGAGGAATTCGGTTCTGGGTATCTTTTGACGGGGTTACCGGGGGTTCGGGTGTTTCTGAAACGGCCACGTGCAGCCGATGCTGTTGTCAGGTCACAATCACGCATAAGCAAGACTGAATGAAACATGCAGAGTAGAGGGGGCTTCATAGTTTGAAACATGGTTTAAAGTTATTTGTAGCATGGTAATGCATGGTATAAATATCAAAGAGCGGTACAGGGATACTGCGAGTGATTACTCCGGCCTCTCTGTTATATCATATACTTCAGCACAGAGACTTACTCGACACGATGCCTCCTTCATCTTAATCCTACCAACGCAGTCTAGGTACCACGTGCACCATATCTCAGAGAATCTTCCGGCGAATGCTCCTACAGTCCCTGCTACAAGAGTTGCACGATGCTTGTGCAAAGCTCTGCAACTTCGCCCCAGCATACATTTAGGCAACCCATATCCAATGAAGCAGCCGAGACGGTGTACGAAAGGCAAAAAAGCCTCGTGTCCCACCTGGACACAGTGAAGGATGGAGGGGTCGAGATCCTCTCGTTTAGAGGGGACCTATCTCTCCGGAAGTCCTAAAACGAGGATGCATCGACAGCTGCGTCAGCATCGTGCGAGACGCGAAGCTGTGAGCAACTGTTCGGCAACTTTGGAGAGAGCATGGGAAGAGCTGTGCGACCCTCCATGCAGAGCCCAATACACCCTTTGCGAGGAATATGCTGCTTCGTGAAGACAAACATACTCAAACGAGCGCTCGGAGTACGAAGGCATATTGGGCTTTGGAGATATCAGGGTGCCCATAATAGAAGTCGCACGCCGGATGGCGGAGGACACAAGCTTCGATGGGGCCCAGCTTTTTCAAATTGGCGTGCCCTTGATTCGAAATGCTCAGGCCACAGCTTGTGCTCTCCATTCTGTGCGGCCAAAATCTACATGGTAGCCATTGCACATCTGACAACCGAAACAGGAGCTTTGCCATTGTCTGCCCGCCTGATGAAGACGAGGATATAATGTTGAGAGCGGAATGTGACATGAATCTGGTGGCAGAGTGGGTGAAGACGCTGATGACAGGCCAGTGCTGAACACGACGAACACAGCACCCGTGATTGCGTGTGTCTGTCTCTCTCTGTGTGTGTGTGTGTGCGTGTGCGTGTGCGTGTGCGTGTGCGCGTGTGCGTGCGCGTGCGTGTATATAAAGACGGGGAGGACGTCAACGTCAGCGGCGTTGAACCAAGGGCTATGATGATGCTGCTGCTGGCACGTGGTGGTGATGTTGGTGTTGGTGATGAAGAAGATGATGATTTTGCACTTCTGCCGTCGCCTATTGTGTCACAGCCCCTTTGATGCGCAAAGGCCACATGAGTCGTGGTCGGGTTCAGCTCTTCACTGGGACCCGAACGGCTTCACATCCTTGGATGAACAAGCCCTAAGACCAGCCAGGGGTGACTTCGCCAAGGAGGTATAGGCCGGAATGGTTAGTAAGTGTAATACACTACGAATATAACACCAATATACTAGAGCTAGTCATTCTGTCGTCAAGGTCGCCAGACAATCGAGTATGAGTATGTTGCCAAAGTCCCATTACTGTATCATACTACCTTCTTAGCAATCCTAGGGAACCTCCTCCCCGGTACGGTGGGGGTCCTGCTGTAGGGCTTGCTGTCTGCGAAGATATCAAGGGTCTTACAGGATTTCCTGGTGATCTAAACCCTAAACCACTAAAACCCTAAACCTCTAATCTCGACACCCTGAACGGTTCGGCGGAAGCTAAGCCCGCATAAGCAATCCTTGACTGTGAACTCCGGGACTCCCAACCTCTTAAAGGGAACTCCAGAAAGTTGGAATATAGGGTAGGATACCTTATAATTTACTATAAAGGGTTTAGGATAATCATATTCCAACTTTCTGGCTTTTACTTTAATGCCTGTAGTACATCTCAACCCTGCACTCTGAACATTCACGTCATCTTGGGCCACCCTGTCTGGTTTAAACATTTCGAATTCTCAGCCACCTCCTACCGGGAGCTACTGTCCCTTCTGTAAAAATGGGCCGAAGCAGTTGAAACTGCCCCCCATATAGGGGTTTCAGACAATTAAGGCAACTGGGTAGTTGTCAACATTATGACATTATGGTCCCTTCTTGGGTACCCTAAATACTAGGGTGCCGTATTGAATTCAGGACCCAAGAAGAGACCACAATGTTCACAACCACCCAACTGGGAGTCCCCTCTGTTCTGAAACTCCCATGCGAGACATCAGGCGCCAGTGACGATCGCCTGTGGGGGCGCAGGAACTTGCAGAGCATGGGGGCTGGAAGTTTCACGGTTTAGGGCTTAAGGGGTTTAGCTGGACTTGGGTCTGCGTTTGGCTTTAGTGCCTTTGTTGGTCTTAAGCTAGACCCCAGATCACTCACCAAACCTGTAGGTTTTTGCTGGGTTCATGTCCGGCTCGGGGTACATCTCGGGTTTTGGGTTCAGCCGAGTTTGAGCCTCACCTGCAAAGTTCTGCTTTCAGTAGAAGCCTCGCTGACTTCCGGGCCTTTGCATACGAAGGAAGGAATATGGGGGCCTTCATAATTAGAATTAGGTTTTGGGGCACAATACGTATACTGTAGTCATAAGGAACCCCCCGAAATAGTATTGGTAGTTATTTCGGCCCCTAAGTAGGGCTTGAAGATCTAAGCTTCAGTTTCCCCGAGTCTCCAAGGCAACTGATGCGGAAACATCTCACTCTGGAGGCTATAACAGACGCCCTGAGATACGAATCAATTGATGCGCTTTGTGTTGAGTTTAGTCGGGAACACGGTATTATAATCGAAACTGCGAAACAAATAGAGGGAAAAGGATTTGCAGTACATGAGAGCCATCACGCGACCTCATGTCGAAGCCTAGGCCACTCCGACAATCCTGCAAACCGCCCAAATCTACTCTCGTCATGAGGAGATTGTGCGCAGGTGGCCTACTGCGGTGTCCAAGCCCGCTGGGCCGTGTAGGTTGCCAGGCCCAGGGCGTAACCCAGCGCAGCCCAGAGACCTGATCCGGCGCAGCGTTCTTGCACATCTGACCTTTTCGCCGGCTGACCCGGTAGTTGTAAAGTGACAGTAGTAGCAGTTGTGGTAATAGTAGTTGAGGTGGTAATAGGAGTCGGAGTAGGACCAACATGTACCAATAGTACCACCAGTAGCAGCAGCAGTAGTCGTCGTCGTAGCAGTCGTAGTATTCTGATTCTAGTAGTATTTCCAGAGCTACTGGCGTTGTTTTTACTACGACTGCTCGTTCTGAGAAGACCTACTGCTTACTGCTGGTACTAGTGCTAGTACCACTACTCGTACTAGCACTAGTAGCAATACGAGTAGCAGTAGCAGCAGTAGTGGTGGTAGTAGTAGTAGTGGTAGTAGTAGGTAGTAGTAGTAGTAGTAGTAGTAGTAGTAGTAGTAGTAGTAGTAGTAGTAGTAGTAGTAGTAGTAGTAGTAGCAGGAGTAGTAGTAGTAGTAGTAGTAGTAGTAGTAGTAGTAGTGGTAGTGGTAGTGGTAGTGGTAGTGGTAGTGGTAGTGGTAGTGGTAGTGGTAGTGGTAGTGGTAGTGGTAGTGGTAGTGGTGGTAGTAGTAGTAATAGTAGTAGTGGTAGTGCGACTCTACCACCACTACCTCTACCACGGCTACCACTAACGGTTGCTATTGCTAGTAGTTAGCAAAAATCTCAAACACCACTTCATAGTAACCTGAACGATCTGAGTTTTCGTGTGAAAGGGCGATTGTGTGCTTGGGGTTCAGGGTTTAAGATCCTGGCAAGATAGAAACAAGTTCTTGTCGCGACTCGCCACGCATGTCTATGCACACTTGAACTGTGGCGCTTTTGCTTTACCTTGCCAACCAAAGGATCTACAATCTTCTACCACAGTCACCACTACGAAGAATACTTATTCAGAACAAGACATACTTACACCACCACGACTTGAGGAGAATCCTACGACAAACAGAAGGCTGCTCTTGCTGAAATCGGGAGGCTTATGCGACGCGCGTACCAGAGAAAGCCGACGCCCTCCAGGCCCATGAGGGTGACACCTCCCATGCTGCGGTTGATGATATAAATCCTGCATGACCCATAATAAGGAATAGTTTAAGGTCCTTAAGGTAATGCAGGATTAATATCATCAACCGTACGAAGCTCTGGGGTTCAATCCGGGTAGGCTCCACTTGGATTTGCGAGGGTTGTGTCCAGGATGGTCCTGGGGTCTCTCGAGAAATTTCCGAGACGGCAGATGGCTGAACGAGAGTCACAGCTCGGGCACTGCAGGTGCTGCACCTTGTGTATTTTGTTCACGCACAGACTAGTGCTTTGGAAAACAGTTCGTTCAAATGGCATATGGAGTTGCAGAGGGTGCAACTCCGCACGTCGAATTCGCGCACCACTACAGATTCTGCAGCAGCGCCCTTAAAGCAGATTATGCTCTGCACTTTGCTGTTAGGCGCGCAGTCAGTGGAGCCACAAGGGCTGCTCAAAAGAAGAAGTTGCGGCATGCCACTACTCGCAGCAGGGCACACTACAACAACCTCTATGCAGACTGTCTTGGCCACTAGGGACCGGAGAGTCAAGAAACATAAATCACTGACAAAATCGCCAAAGTTCTAAGCATGTACATATATACAAGCCCTGCGAATTATTGCGGCTGGGCGTCTCGGCACTTCCGGTTGTGGATTGGCTATGGCATGCGGTTTACAGTATTCTTATCCTCCGGCGCCCAGCCCGCATACGGCAAAACGGAAGAAATTGCAGAGTTTGCAATTCCGCAGATTAAATTGTGCCCTGCTGTAGATTCTACAGCAGCGCCCTTAAAGCAGATTATGCTCTGCACTTTGCTGTTGAGCGGATTGGAGCCACAAGGGCTGCTCAAAAGAAGAAGCTGCGGCATGCCAGCCTGTAAACCTGCACACTGCAACCACCTCTATACAGACTGTCTGCACGCCACAGGTGCCAGAGAGTCAGAAACCCAAAATCATTGACAACATCGTCACCGTTCTAAGCATGTGTTTTTGTAACAAATGAATTACTGCTGCCGGGCGTCTCAAGAATCTTCAGAAAAGAAAAGCCACAACAACAACACCAAATGGCAGAGTCCTTATTCCAAGTGCCCCAAACCCTGATCATCTCTAAACCCCAAGCCCTGAATGTGAGTACCTTGAGCCCTTAACCCAAACCCTAAACTCTAAACACCACTATTCCTTGCACCGTAAACCCCATATCCCAAACGTCGAAACCTTGTTGTTATTTGTACCTCCGCCCTAAACACTAGTATTGTGAGTAAGCAAGCCTAAATCCCAAACCCCAAGCCCCTTCGTACCCCTGAGCCCTCAACCCTATCTCAGACCACATCTTGACGCTAAGCCCTTCTCCTAAGCTCAAAAGCCCCCAACTCTGAGACCCTAAACCCTAAGCTTACTCTGCCATCTTGAGAAGCCCAGAGTTCAGGGGCCTATTGCAGGAACCTGATGCAGAAATCCCTGGTTCCTGTAGGGTTTTTGGGCTTACCATAGGGCCTAGGGCTTTAAAGGTTTTTTGGGCTTTGAGTTCAGGCTGGAATCTGAGACCAGGGATGTCTTTGTCAGGGTACTACGTACCACGTTGCTCACCTCAGGGATTCTTCGGCTGCAGGAAGCCGGGCGCGCTCTCGTGCTCGAGGCAGCGGCAGCTCGGAAAGTCCTCCGGCACAGACTCCTGGCTGTCTGGTTCTTAGGCAATCGGGGAATGGATTGTGGAGACTATTATTGCGGATTATATAGGGACTACTATACTATATAGGATCGATTCCCCCATTCACTACAAAGCAGACTACTATAAGGGATCGATTCCCCCATTCCCTACTAAGCACCAGGGAGTCCTTGCTTGCGGGATGAGGTGCCGGCCAGGGCAGCTGCGGGAGCTGCGCGATGTGCAGGTCGACGGAGGCCTTGCCGGGCATTACAGATGTAATAACTGGCTTGAACACCGGCTCGTACATGGACTTCACACGATCTTCGAAGATGCCGTAGACTCCCCGCTCCTCCATGTAAGTGCGTAGCAGGGGCCCCGTTCCGCCAAGCATGGCCAAAACGGTCGTAACCTTGGCGTCCCATGTCGCCATGGGGGCAACGGCTTTCCCAGTGACTGTGAATGACTCAATGCTGCCAACAGGTGTTTGCACCCGCGGCATGGCCAGCATGTGGTTGTACCATGCAAGCCCAGCAGCTGGATCCACCAAAATCGAAGGGAAAGCGGCGTAGGGGGTAAGGACTGTCTCCGACTCTTTGAAACTGAAAACGGGCTCTTCGGCCAAGGACTGGATTCCTACAGCGCTGCAGTAGGGATGGGCATCACATTGCACACCGTTGGGTGCATTCACCGATGCCATGAGGCCAGGCAGCTGCTCTCGCACGGAATTCTCCAAGCGTGCGAACTCACCGTTTGCGAAAAGGTGCTTGACCAGTGGGATATCCATGTAGGGGAGCTGCAAGGTTTTCCACTGCTCATGTGCTGAGAACCAATACCCTTTCTGCAGAACCATCTTCGTGTCGTCGGCGGCTGTGTACACAACAGGCTCGACATGTTCCGCCTTGATCTTCCACATCAGCTTCTTCTCCTCCTCACCATTGTTTGGGTACTTGGTCCAGTTGCCAAAGATGTCCAAGAAGAGGACAATCATCTCCCCTTCGAAGGCATCCCAAAGAAACAAGCCGTTTTCGTTGTGAGCATTGGAGGCATTCTTGGCAATATCGACTGTGACGTTGTCGAGCTCGCTGACCATGCGCACCAAGCCGGCTCCATTGTAGAACAAGTTGACAACGGATTCCTTCATCCGCTCCAAGCGAGCGTTCCAGCGCCGGGCCGTCTGTGCAAACCGACTGGAGGTGCCTTCCTGCTTAGCACGGCGTTCCAGAACATGTACCACGGCAGCAGCGCCAAATGCAAGCTGGCCGTTATCCAGGCCAGGCAGGGTCCTTTCCCAGCCGGACACCGGGGTCATCTTGGTTCCAGGGTCTGCAAGGGTCTTGCAATGCCCCGCCTTGTTGATGCCACGAGAACAGAACCAAGGCAGGAAGCCCCCGAAACCTGGGTAGTTTGCGTCAAAGTCCTCCATGGTCTTGGCCTTCTTGTCCAGGATGTCGAGTGCCTCATCGGCGCTGTAAAGCAAAGGAAACACTGTGGCCAGCTCCGCAGGCACGTCCTCGACGGGCTGAAGGGCCAACGCAAGCAGGCTCAAATGCAGAGCCTCTTTGGATGGTGCCGAGAAAGTTCGGAGAGTTCCATGCTGGACTTCGCCAGTGCTGTCGTCCAGTCCAACGCCGTCATAGGTCATGCCGGTGTCGGGATCGAAAGAGAGCTTAGCTGCTCCTCCAAGAAAGCCACGCTCCACGTACATCACATTCGCCATGTAATCTGCCCGAGTCTTCGCATCGTGCCAATCCACGCCCTCGAACTCCTTGGCGAAGCGGCAGCATCCAGAGCTGGCAAGCTGGGGCGAAGTCGCCTCAGACAATCTCCGGTGGTTGGTGCCATCGGTCCCAAAGAGCGGGACCCGCTTCGAGATCACGAAGACCAAGCCCAGCAAACCCAGCAAGCTTCCGATGTAGCGCGACTTTGGTCCAAGTTGGCTCTTGGCCTCGCGCGGGATCCCTTTTAGAGGAGCATTAATTGAAAATGCTTCATCAAGGCTTCGGTATAGTTTTACTCCCGCCTAACGTGTAGGGTTCGATAAGCATCAGATGCTACTAACAATGATAATGAGCTTCCTCACTCTGGAGTCTGTCCTCCAAGACGGCCGGAGAGCTACTTCCGAACGCCATTGCAAGACCGACTCTGGGAAAGCTCGCCGAAGAGGTTCTGAGAGCAAGTGATGCCCCGTAAGAAATCCTTGAGCCGTGGCCGTTTGATGGGTTCTGATCATACACGTCTGTCCTGGTGTTCATCATGTCCAGTGTGGCTTATCCTCATCATCACTTGCAACATGATCAGTGTCATGAGCACGCGTGTTTGACCTGAACCTCGCAAGTCACGCCCAGACCTGCGACGCTGCCGACGGCCAGCATGGAACCTCCGGTTCCAGCGGCCTGGGTTTCGCCGTTCAGGTTTAGGGTTGAGGCGGAGATTTTCGCCCTTCGAGTTTCTAACAATCTGCCACTACTTGCCAGCCTCAATACTGCTGCATCATTTTCTTCATGGTTGTAGGGGTGCGGTCTGGCGGTTCGCAATTCTTGCCACACTTCTGTCGCTGTACGTAATGATCCCGAAGTCCAAGGAGGGTTTCCGTCGGGTCAGGGTTCAGATGGGCCATTGTTTGCACCCCCGATCTGCCTACTTTCTTAGTTTGGCAGGTTTCCTCGGGGGTTTCGGAAAATAGGGACCCGAATATAGTATCCTATGTAATAGGATCCTTAGAAAAAGGACCCCAAATAAAGTACCCCTAATTTTCGGAAAGTCCCACTTGAGTTTGGGAGTTAGAGGTTGGGGGCCGGGGGTAGATACCGCTCTGAAGCTCCGGTTCGTCGGCTCGGCATGGGGCCTGCCTCTTCATTGCTACTGCAATGCCGCACCTGAAAGACAACCAGTCGCCCCCTGCGCAATCTGTAGACCTAAGAGTATCCTGAAATAACCAGGGTGCCCTTTTTGGTTTAAAGGGGGTCAAAAGGAACCTAAACCCCAAAGGAACCGGAAAAAGGGCGTACTCTGCGTCCTAGCAATGCATGGTTATAGGGTTTGGGCAACTGCGCATCTGAAGTCCTGCGTAGGCTGCTTCTCGGGGCCGATCCCCCCAACCGAAACCCAAATACAGGGCCGATAGACTTAGAATATAGATTTGGGCTTAGGGTTTAGGGGTTTAGGTTTAGGCTTAGAATATAGATATCAATAAAATCAGGAACCCGCATAATCGCAATAGGTAATTAAGGCAGAAGCGAGTGCAGTCAGCTGCCACAACGGTGAATCCATCGGCTCCTGACCCACCAAGAACATTCCTACTTGTCGGGTATCATGGGGAACTGAAGGTTAATTGTAACCTTTTTGGTTATATAGGGATTATCTGGGGGCTATACTACCCCAACAGAGGTTAAAGGTCAAATACTCTACTACAAGGCATTTGACGAGGTGCCACACTCGGATAGGGCCCCGAAAAAGCACAGAAGCAAAAATCAGGCTAGGGATGCCCCATTAAAAAAATCCGTTACTAAAGCCACTAAGGTAAGGGGTCCCTAAACTCAGAGAAGAACAAACGCGAGCGGGAACACCTGAGGCCTTGCTGGCACGCTGCTGCAAGAAAGAACAAATGAATCAATGCATAGACACTTGTTTGGGGGCAAGGGAAAATTGAGGATGCCTTCTTCAGGGCTCCTTCTGGCGAGGATCCGAAAATCACGCGTAAAGCTTCGCTCCCTGTTTTCCGATCACTGTCGTAGGGGGCTTGGTGATAGCAGAACTGGAACTACAAGGTCATTTCATCCTGAACCCTGTTTATAAACCCTAAACCCTGAATCCCAAAACCAAATTTTGCTTAAAAAAAGACCCTCAAAGCCTACGCCCAAAACCACCCTAAGCCCTGAACCCAAAGCCTTCTTGCAAACACCAAAACCCAAGGCCCAAGCTAGGAGGAGCCCCTGAGCTTCGGTCCTTGAACATCTCGATGGATGCCTGCCGTGGTCATGGGCGTTTCATGCGAGCTGCCAGCGAGGTCAACGTACGATCTGGTTTATGTACTATACTACACCATTAGTGGTATAGCATCATAGTGAATTCTTTTTTGTACTATACCAGTAGCTAGTGGTATAGCATCATAGTGTTTGATTCTGTGGTAAACTATAGACTATACGATGTAGTGGCTGTAGTTATGGTGTGGCATGCTGCGCTCTACTATGCAGTGGCTGTACACCTCCAACTCTCTCAGACTCGACACCTGAAATCGAAGATCCTTTGAATGTGAAAAGTTCTAGGACAAAGAATCTGACCCGCGGGACTTGGCAAGGTGGACGAGCATGTGTCTGTGACTGACTAGAGTCAACTTCGCACCTCAAGCATGATGAGGCAAGGGGAAACTATGGCCTAGGAGGAGACAACGCAGTGCAGGACCTGAGCAAGCAAACGAGCCCAGCTTGTCTCTGACCCTGACCCTGCAGTCTAAAGCCCTGTAAATCCTAAACACTAAAACCCTTAACCCTAGGCCTACGGTTTCATTCCATCGCTACCGTTCTGGGACCACAAGGGAACTCAAAAGCATTCCCAAGTGCTACCTAGACAACCTTAAACCTTGAATGCCGGAAACCTAGACCCTATATAAACCCCGGACCTTAAACCTTTAAGGTTTAATGATACGGCATGTTTAGGATGTGGCCCGTAAAGTCTTAGGGATGTTTAGGATGCAACCCTTTAGAGTTGTGAAGCCTGGACCAGCGGAACGTTGTCAACCACAGCCGAGGAGATGCCCAGAAGGGAGCATAAGAGCAAGGAGCTGCCGTGGGTGACCTAGTCTTTAGGGGTTTAGGGGTTTCCGACTCACACCCTCGCACAAGGCAGGCACGGCTTCAGGCACTGGGTCCGCTGAGCTTGCTACTTGTACACCACGGGTTTAGGGGTTGAGGGTTTGGAGTTTATCGGCTTTCGGCGCTCACACTCGGACAATCCAGGCGAGGCATTTGGTTCGAGGCCGGCTGAGTGAAGCTACACTGGTTGAGCGGGTTTAGGGATTCAGGGTCTAGGCCCTAAACCCTAAACCGAGTGTTAGAAACCTTTAGGGCTTCGGGCTAAAGGTCTGGTTAGGGTTTGGGTTGGGGTTTCGGGGCTCTGAGGCTCAGCAATTCATCCAGGGTCCTTGACATTGCTTTTTGAGTTTAAGGGTTTGAAGTTGAGGCTTCGTGTTTCAGGTTTAGTTGGTGGTGACTAGGGTGTACTTTGACGCATGGCACAACCAAACGATCGCAAGTTGCGTCGGGGGCTGTAGGGTGTAGGGCTTTGTTTCGGATTCAGGCGACACGGAAGGCCCTAATCCCTCCAGAACAGCCCCCGCATCAGATAGTAGCAACTGCGGACAGACACAGACACAGACACACACACACACACACACACACACACACAGATCATGGTGACACTTATGCGGCGTGTTCGAAACCGGATTGCAGCCTGTTTTCGGATTCATTTCTTTTTAGATTTCAGGATCAGACAACCAATCCAACACATCGAAATGCTACAGTTCAAGGTCTAGGTTTAACAAGCAGCCTAAAGTTTGGAGTTTTGCAAGAGACCTAGCTCTCGACAGGTGGTCCTCACCTCGAGCTCTTGTCGATGCAAGCACTAAGCCCTGCACCCGAAGTCCCAAACGCTCAAACCGACTCCAGATCCTTGCAAGCGCCCCTGAACGGCAGACGCAACAGCAACATCGTGCCTCAAGCTGTCAACAGGCCCACCGCGCACTTCACGGCGTTAAATTGAATCCAACCCTTAGCCCAGACCTTCCAACCCCGACTACCCCCCCTGGCCAGCACCTCACTACCGCCTCAACCATACGCCTGAAACATCTATAAGCGAATTATGTTGTGAGCCGTCCTAAAGCGTCTTAAAGCGCTATGAAGGCCTTAGATATTCTACCCTTCCAAACCCATCCCTTCCAAACCCTATAAAATGCTAACATAGGATTACAACGCCCACCGAAATCCTAGGCCAATAAACAATGAGATCTAACACCCAAACCAGTGCTATCGAACCCTTGACGCAAGAATGGGGCAACACAAACACAACATCCTAAATCACTCTTGTCATAAAACCCCAAATAAATTCAAAACCCTAAATCCTAACACTTACAATGCGACCCAAAAAACATTCTAATAATACCCTGGCCCTGGGACCCCCAAACCTCTAAGTCTTTTGAATCTGAAATTCTGAACCGTAGACTCTTAGACCTCAAGCCCCCCCAATCCCCAGAACCCCTGAGCGCTCAACCCCAAGAAAACCCAACTTTCTGAACGCTAAACCCTGAACCCTGCACCCTACACCCTAAACCCTACACCCTAAACCTTAAACCCTAAACCCGACACCCTAAACCGTACACCCTAAACCCTAAACCCTCGAGTCTAAACCTTCAGCCTGTCATAACCCCCCAAACCCCACTAAACCAAACCCGAAAGCCTCAAATCCTAAGCCTGTAACCCCAAACCCTGCAATCCCCAGCCCGTAAGCCTAAACCCCTTAAAAGCCCTCTAGCCTGTAATCTCCAAATCCGGAACCCCGAAAACCCCACAAAACCCAAAACCCCGTAATCCCCAAACCGGAAGCCCCTAAACCCCCTGAAACCACATAAAACCATAACCCCCCCCCCCCCCCCCCCGGGGGCCTCTTCCATGAACTTGGCGTAGCGCTCAAGGACCTCTGCTGACTCTAGGGCTGCCACGCCAAGCAAGACCTCGGCTTCTTCGATTTTTTTTTTTTTTTTTTTTGGGGGGGGGGTGGGCGGGAGGGGAAGAAACCCTAAACCCTAAACACTAAGCCCTCTAACCCTAAACCGTGATGAGGGATTGGGATGTTGCTTTGTTTTGTCTTTGGGCTTGGGGCTTTCTTGGAATTTGGGGGCTTGTGGCTTCGGGTTTTTGGGATTGGGGGCTGTTGGGTTGCAGTATTTGGGGACTTAGGATTTTCGATGTTGGCTTATAAGGTCATTACGAGTTTGGGCTTTGGTTTTGGGGCTTTAGGATTTGGGGCGTTAGGATTTTGGGGGCTTGGGTTTAGGATTTCAAACGTTTTGTTTTGTAAGGGTGTGGGGTTTTGTTGCCGTTGGGCCGTTGGGTTCTGTAGCCAGGGTTTCGGGATTAGACCCCGAGGGTGTAGGATTTGTGGTTCTATAATATCATTGCTGCATTATATGGGGGAGTATGAGGGTGCTTCTCGCCACCAAGCGGTCTCCATGAAAATTTCTTACGGGGTCGTTGCCGATGCATCTTCATATCGAATGCTGTGACTGTTGGGTGTCATTGGGAGGGTGCTTTGCCGCAACATGTACCTATGGTTTCAGGTGTACAGCTTAGGATCTTGGGCTAAAGGTTAGGGGTTTCAGGCTGTTGCCGTGTGGCTTATAGAGTTTACCATGTTGCGCTCATGTCTCGGGGTTTTGAGTTCACTTTTCAACGTTGCGGTTTTGGCTACAAAAGCTGAATATGGTGTTTCTCTGTGTCGCCGGATACTTGAGGACAAGGGAAGGAACTGTTCAAGGTTGTTTAAGTTGAGGGGTGTCCAATTTAGTAGCATTCCTCAGTTGCTTGTTGCTTCTCCCCCTTCTCTGCCCCGTCTCTACCGGGCCTTTCCTGCAGCATAACCCGACGAATGATACTCCAGCCACTGCTGCGTCTAACCCGTTGTCCTCCTGTCCCCACCTGCCCCAGCCACTCCCCACTGCTCCTTGTACCACTGCACACAATGCCTGCAGCTACTGCGGCTGCTGCGACGAAGACGACGACTACTACTGCGAGTACGACTAGTTACAACGACAACTCCTACCACTAGTACTGCTACTGCTACTACAACTCCCCCTGCTGCTACCACTAACACCGCAACGACCAGGACGACGAGCGACTAGGTAACGCGTACCCCTCCAAGTACGGTACTACTTGGTACTCACTACTCCCTTGTCTCCTGCCATGTGGACACTTAGCAACGTGTTGCGTGCTAAATGCTGTTCACCATAATCGATATACTAGTTTCAGCTTGTTGCTACTAAATTCATCTAGATATTGCTACAACTTGTTGCGAACGTTAGACCCTATATTTGCGCCGCATACCCCGAAATTCCTATATGACTTCTACAACGACGACCACTATATTATAACAACGACTCCTCCTCCTCCTCCGCTTCCTCCGCCTCCTCCTCCTCCTGCGTTGCTGCTGCTGCTTCAAGCTGGGTGGCGCCCGTAAAGAAGAGCAGGCTGCTCAAGTCCACCTGGACAGTTTCAACAACCCAAGGGGCTGCTGAAAGACTCTCTCTCTCTCTCTCTCTCTCTCTCTATGTATGTATACATATATACATATATATATATAAACATAAATACACGATTATATCCAATATGATATATGTATTTTCTTGATGTATATCTACACTCTGCATGAGGCTTTTTGGAAACAGCTTAAGCTGAAGGGACATTACTGACTCCAATCTCTGGGCGGAGCTTCGCCAGAGCGATGAAGAAGGATCAGTGCTAATTTGATTTCTAGGTTTGCTGAGTTCATAAGCCCCCAAAAGTGTACACTTTTAGTTTTATAGTGGGTAATATTATCCCAAATAAAAAGTGTATATAAAGTGTATCCACTCGGCTACTAAGATTTCGACTCATGGGCCGGAGGCTGCGGGGGTTTGAGGGAAGTACTTTGGAGGGCGTCGATCCCGGTTTAGGATCCTACGCGTTCACACTGCTTGAAACTTGCGTTTCTAAACTACCCAGGGGCCCCAAAGTAGTTCCTTTTTGGAGTTACCCTATAGGATTCTATATATGAACCCCCAAAAAAGGAACTACTTTGGGGCCTTTGGGTAAACCACTTTCCGAGCACTGGACTTCTAGAAAGATTCTGCTCTCCGACTCCTTCGGAGGCATGTCATGTCACGGTTTAGGGTTTAGGGTCCTCTGTTGCTCCAGTGGCCGAACCCACGAATCGCCACCAAGCGCATTCTTGTATGTTTTTGGAGGGCTTTTTAAGGTTTACGGATTCTTGGTGAATTGGGGTGTAGGGTTCAGGGATTCGGGTTTTCTTGGTGGTTTAGGGTTCAGGGTGATTCGGGTAAGACGGGTAAGAGCCCTTGGTGCCGAACCCTACTCAGCCCCAATCATGAAAACTGTAACGAACTGTCTCAAGCTATGTCGTAGGCCTGAACAAACCAACGAAAGACTTGCAACTCGAAACCTCTGAACACCTGAATGTGCCGATGTGCCTTCCGAAGCCCTCTGTCCCCCCTAAACCCTAAACCCTTTAAACCTTAAACCCTAATCCTCTGCCACCTTAACCCCAAACCCTTTAAACCCTTTTTTTTGCATCGCCCTTTAAACCCTAAACCCTAAGCCTCTGCCCCTTAAACCCTAAACCCTACTGAAACCCCTAAACCCCTACACCCGTGGCCTTGTGCAACGCCGCAGGGACACCTCGAAGCGAGTGCGCCGTCCCCGCCTCCTCCGGTTCGAAAATTCTATTAATTTAAGCTTCGGACTACTATTTTAGGGTTCCGACTATTAGTTTATAGTTGAAACGATTAGTTCAGGGTTCGAAATATGCTCTCGCCACGGACCCGGCGACCAAAACCCCTTACTAAATGGACCCCCAAAGTATGGTAGAATAGTAGCCTTTTGAAGGTATTGCGCCATGATTTTGCCTACTTTGGGGGGTTTAGGTATACACTAGACCCTAAATATCAGAGCTCAACGCCCTAAACCGTAAGCCCAAAAATCCGAGCTCAAGTCCCTAAACCCTAAAGCACCGAGGGGAGTAAGGCTTCCTGAGAGGCAGAATTCCGCTTTGGCACAGGCCCTTTTGGAAAAAATGTGCTGTTGTCACCCCCCTATACTAAGTAACTAAATAAACACTCCTTGATGGGAGCCCTAAACTATGCCCCATTATTTCAATCTTTAAACCCTTGAGTCCCTAGGATCCCTGGAGATGATACCATGGAAGTCAGTCCTCATCGCCGTCCGTAACCTGGACCAGGGGTGGTGGGGCGTGGGGGGATCCTTGTGAGTAATATCAGGCCCCAGCTCTTGCGGCAACGATTAACGTACGTGTATTTAGGGTTTAGGGTATTATACTTATACTACTTTTATTTAGGGTGTAGGGGCACCCTAGAGCCGCACAATCTTATTAAGAATGGCAACAAACCTGGAAATAAACCTGAAAACCTGTCAAACCCGGTAAACTCCTATACTGACCATAGAAGCAATCAATCAACACGTTGCAACAAGCTATGACAAACATCAAAACGATAGAACTCTTATTCAGAACAACTGCTTAACACCCTATGAAACCTTTAGCAAAATCCAATACCGACAACGCTTGCGCAGCATCTTCACAACCTTTGGTGGCAAATGGTGCAGCTAAGGCATAGAGTTCAGGGGCTGCGTACCTGCATCCACAGTCTAAGGCGCTTAGGGCTTAGGGTCTATATAAGTTGTTCTGATTGATGAATAGATCGGGCTGCAGGTCTAGTGTAGTCGTTTCTGCTATTTGGTGCCCGAAACCCTAAGCCCTGCATTTTGGTTCAAAAAGGGGGGTCTCTATTGCTTCTGTTGTTTGCTAGGGGTTTCTGGTCGAAGATGACCTGGCTGGGAGGCTTTCAGTCTTGCTTTCTGTGGGTCGGTGGGGGGTGGGGGTAGGATGTCAGGGCCTTTTTGTGGAGGGGGGGGGGGTTGAGGGAGTTTATGGTTTTAGGATGTTTGAGGGTTAGGAGACCCTAAAATCACAAGCCCCATTCACACCAAGGGGCCGCACCCAACTCGCAGATTTCGGCGACCAGCCAGAAGACACCCAAAGCCATCATCATACCAAGATAAGGAGGCAGCCTGTTTTGCACAATGGGCGGTCCACGGCCGTAAGGTCGCACCAGCACAGGGCACTTAAACACGAACTTTGGAAGGTCGTATCTGTACAGATGGTGTAGTAGGTTTTGGTAGGATGTCAAGAGCTGAAGACAAGAAGGAGCGCCCATCATGTGAGTGATAATGCTACGGCTTGGTCGATTACCAAATCCGACACTTTTTTTAACCCTTACTGAGGCCGATGCGTGTGACAAACTTATACCTCAAAATCAATCTCGCCAACTGGGGAACGCGAACGACGCAGCACTGTGACAACCTCGACCAACATCCCCAACCCATAATGCCGGCCAGAAGCCCAGTGACCATCTTCACAACCGGCACCATCAGGATGCACAGCATTCCTGTGCCCCGTGACTCCGCAAGCTTAGCCGACAGAAGCCTACAGTGCGGCTTCGCGGATCCTTGCCATACATACATGGGCCGCCATAAGCTACACTACCGGAATCAGCCATTTTTTGACGGTTGGTTTCGGTATGCAGGTACAATGAGCTCTTGGATTGTCTGTTCACCGTTTCAGGCCTTCGGCCTTAGGGCGAACCCCTAAACCCCAAACCCTGAAACCTAAACCCCAAACCCTACAAACCTAAACCCGAAACCCTAAATCCTAAAACCTAGACCCGAAACCCTAAATCCGAAAACTCTAAACCGTGTCATCACCTCAGAGGTTTTTTATCGAAAGCAGGTGGGCCTATCAAAACAAAACTGCTCGGCTTACGACCAGCCTTGGGCCGGTATAGCTTAATCATACGAAGACTACTAATAATGCGCATAAAGAATATAGTGGCAATAGTAATAATAATAATAATAATAATAATAATAACCGTAGTAGCATTAAAAATTGTGAATTCCAATACATATGACGATAACACAAATAGTTCAATTCAAGGGTAATCCTCATCATCATCATCATCATCATCATCGAAAAAGCAATGTAAACTTTTTCGTAGTGGGCTGAAGTTTCGGAACCAGCAATCAAATGCCGTCGAGGCTCCCACAATCAAGGTCGCAGTACCTTGGCGGCGGAAATGCTCAAGATTTGTTGGAGCATATCCGGACGAGCCCAGAGAGCCCAATACCCCTTAATTAAGGAATATACCCTAAATCACAATATTCAATATGAGCCCGTTTATAATTCAATATGAGCCCCCTTATATTTCAATATGAACCCCCTTATAAATTCAGGCATATTCCTTAGTTAAGGGGTACTGGGCTCTCTGGGCAGAAACGGTGGAAATCACGGAACTTTCGGGCCGCCCTCAGCTATTGGAAGGGGCACTAAAGGGGTTTAGGGTTTAGGGGTTTAGGGGTTTAGGGTTTAGGGATGTTTAGGGGTTTAGGGGATTAGGGTATAGGGTTTAGGGGTTTAGGGTTTTGCTAAAACAAGACCCGGGCGGCCGTTCGTGCTGGAGGCTGTGCTCACGTCGCGCTTCGCATCGTCCCGCAGAGAACCCTTCTGGCATTTTTTGGCCTTCCGGGCGCTCCAAGGTGTCAGTTTTAGGGCTGCAGTCCTTTGGGATGGCTTCGGGTTTAGGACTTAGACCTTTACGGCGGCTACGTCTAGGAGCTGTTGGTTTACAGCCAGCGTTTAGGACTTAGGGGTTGAGGGTGTCGTGGTTAAGGTCTTGGGGTGTTTAGGGCTCGACGGCAAAGCAGTCAGCCAGCGCGAGAGGCTGCGGGCCAAGTCCCACGACGAACGGCATGTCTATGCTAATCCGTCGAAGAAGAATTTCGGCATACTGCAGTGACGAAACCCAATACAGACCGAACTGCCCCCGGTGATCCGTCCCCTCAATGGTCCCCATGCAGCCTGCCACCAGATGCCAAAGAGCGGGGCAAAGCCAGCAACGAGCGAAGGAAAGAAAAGCCATACCTGAAATCACACAGGAGAACCTTCCAGATTGCAAGAGATGCTCCGAGATTTCCATGCAGGGTCCCTCCACTCGTCGAGGGATTTAGAAGCTGGTGAAGTCACACCTGCTGGCTCCTTCTCCGGGCACCTACCACCGAGGAATAAGAACTAAGCGTGGAGGGAAGTGATTCTGCTCTGAAGCTGAGAACTCTTGCCTCGGTGACCCTATACATCCAACACCCAAGCTCCGGCTGACTTCCGAAAGGCAAGAAGACCCGAAATTGAGCTTTTTTTAAGAAGGTGGGGCCTTGCAATGGTGTGGGCATGAGTCTGATGTGCAGGCAGGTTTAGGGTTCAGGGTTGCATGGCCTCACAACACGCCAGACATCCTTGCAGAGGTGCAGGAGAGACAAAACTCCCATGAGAGACAAGTATGTGTGTTTGTGGCGGCTGGGTCGACCCCGAACCCAGGAACCCAAATCTCTCAACTCCAGACCTCAAGCCAGCAAGAAAGCCAACTCCAACCCCTAAACTGCCCTAAATCCCCAGACCCCAAATTAAACCCCTGAGCACTAGTATACAGCTCAGAAGCCCCAGAACCCTGAAACCCTAAGCCCTAAAGCCCCAGAACTCTGAAAGCAGACCAAAGGTCCACAGTCCCGAAGGTTGAAATCTTGTGCTGGATCCTCAGACTTTGGCGGTCAAAGAGTCTAGGGTCACTTGGGTTTAGGGGCTTAGGTCAGGCGTTTTGGAAGTTCAGGGCTCATGGGGTCGGTTCTAGGGCTTTGGGCTTCGAGATTTGGAAGTGCTTCTTGCGACGTCCATGGCCGACGGCTTCACTTGAGACTTACATCCGCAGACCTGCAACCTCACCGCCCTAGTCTAGACCCACATCACAGTATATAGTACTGTACTATAAAATATACCACTAGGGAATGAAGATGGTCCTGATGTTGGTAGTGTGGTAGTTCGCTCAGCTGAGTTAAGGGAGTCGGGTTTAGGGGTTTCGGGGTTTTGGGAGGGATAATTGCTTAGGTTCCAGCGGTTTCAAGCATGGTGGCAGGATTTTCATAGTTCGGAGCTCGCAAAAAGCACCTAAACGTCAAGCTTAAATAGCTGCTTTTGAGTCCCTCAAAAATCCAACTGGCGGTGCTTGGGAGCTTGGCATGAATTTCTGGTTTTCTGGGCCGATTCAACAGCATTGACTGCTGTTTCTTTGCAGGTGAGAATCCAAAGCATGGTCGTCGTCACCTTGGATGCCCATGCGGAGTAGCTCCAACATTTTGGGGTAGTGAGTCAACCAGAAGACGATGTTTCAAGGTTTCCTGCGGAGCAGATAGCCATTGCTGCCGATGCTGTGTCGCAAGCAGAACCGCTGGATCCGCTTCAGCTAGACTGAAAATAGGGAAAGGTGTCAGTGAGGAGTGGCGATACGGGAGTTCCCGACAATGGGGGACCCTAAATATAGTACCCTACATAGAGATTAGGATCCTCATTCTAAGGACTACCCATTGTACACAGCCCTGTGTCGACCTGTGGCTTCTCTGGCTTATGGTGATCAGAAGACCGGTCTCAGTTCTGGGTTTGTTTGAGGTTGGCTTTTTCGAGCGTGCACGTGCGTGCGTGCGTGTATGCGTAAACTAAACCTACCTGATTTAGGCAAGGAACCCAAAATCAAAGCCCTACAGCCCGAAACCTTAACGAACATGAGAAAGCATAGGACCCGCCGTCAGCCGTCATCCTAAACCCTATAGCTGCTATAGCTTTCATGCCGTGACGTAAAGGTCCAAGTGCCTCATATTACCACGCATATATTCACCCAAGAACTAGGCTTTGAAGATTATATATTCTATCCCAAAACCGAATGCCAACTCTTAGGGTCTTTGGGACCCTGAAGGGTTCCTTTAGGTGCGTCACAAGGGTTTCCTTACGGTTTAGCCAAAGGAGCATCCCCGATGGGGCTCCAAGCGCCTCCAGCATTGGCCGCGACGACCACGACCCCTCCACAAGAGTGCCTCCAGTCCTTGCAGTTTCGCTCGGGGTCTCCGCGTTGCATTTTTCTAGCTGGATTGCTGAAGGATTCCTGCAAGGGTTTCATCTTCGAAGGTCTTGACTGTTTAGGCTTTGCAGATCTTGCAGGCCTTTGTCTCCGGCCTTTCGGCAGCCTGTTAAGGGTTTAGGGCTTTGGGATTTAGAGAGTCCACAGGAAAGAAACCGTAAGCGCACACCGGGGCCACTGAAGCTGTTAGGCCACAATGACAATGATACTAGGGACAATGAGGGGATAGCCATTACTCAGTTACCAACTAATCCGACTCCTATATCAGAAGCTTTGCTAACTATTTCATGAACTCAGCTTCGCGGTGGGCTTGTTTGGACGACAAGAACACGTAGTTTAGAAATCTCTGGCATAACCCCATCTGCTTGTTCCAAAACCCAGATACTGACCAGTGGTAAGACCCATGGAAACATCACGCTCAACTAAAACCTCCATCAACCTCGTAGCCCTCAACCTGACGAAGCTGAGCTGCCTGATTGTGAGGTACCACGCGCTTCAGGATCTTGATGCACACAATGGTGGCGGTGAGGTTGTCGATGACGGAGCTCAAGAAGAAGGCAAGGGTGCCTGTGCTTTGTCAGCCACGGCCGCATGTTCACACGCTTAAAGGATCTTTCTGGCATTCACTTGCCCTGGATTGGAGCGGCATGGATGCGGAGACTGCTTGCGACACGCAGCGTCTGCTGGTTTTGCCACGCATCCCGGTGCAAGCTGCAAGCTGGTTTTTTCCCAAATATGCTTCTATGCTTCGAGGAGGGATGCTGTAACATGAACATCTAATACGCTGTGAATGCACTTGAGTCTCATGATGAGGCAGACACTCGAAGCAGCAGGGGAGTTCGTGGCAGACGGCAAGCAGCGGCCTAAAGTTACAGAAACGTAGGAACTGTTCGAGCTCAGCTTGACATCCGTCACCCAGCCGGTTCAACTCGCACTAGTTCTCCTCCAAGTCCGGCAATGCCATCAAGCTGCAAATCATTGGCATCAACCGGTCCGGGTGATCTTGGGTGTATCGGACGATGAAAGACGTGACGGCGGCGAAACCATCCATGTGGTCGATGGACTCCACAATGCCCATGGCAGGGAGAAGGAAGAGAATCACACTTCCGACGTCCGTCAAGCCTTTGGATAGCTCCTGCAGTCACACAAGCTAGCGAGTGAAGGGGCAGACAGAACATAACATGGCATGGCACGTCTGCATCTTGGGCTTTAGGCTTTGAATGTCAGCCGCTTCGATGCGTCAACGATCGTGGCTCGAATGCAATCGAGAGTCGTGATGAAGCAGCTCGTGCCCTTCTTGGGACTTGGTCGGATGCTTCTGTGCGGCATGGTAGGTCCACATGACGGAGGCCAAGACTAGCATGATGGCCGCCTTGTCCTTGCAATCTACTTCTGCTTCTCACCCCCAGACATTTGGGGGTTCCCGAAAATAGGGGACCCTAATAACCCCCCCAATATAAGGTACCCCTAACTTTCGGAAACCCCCATGTAGGAACCCACCGGAGTGTACCAAAAATCATTCCGACTTTTTCTTACCGCACTCTGATTATGGATATGTTGGCCCAAGCGTCGAGCCGAATGACGTCCTCCAAAGCAACCAATGTGATTCCGGTCAGGAAAAGTGACGCGAGGATCTTCCTGCCACGAAGGCTCCGGGGGTCCGGAGCTAAAAAGGTGAACCATAAGTCTAGGTCGGAGCAGCTTTTTGTTCCGACATACATACACGCATAGGTATTCATCTGGTATAGTTCATGCATGTTTCACTTACACGGGCATTTATCGGTCTATCTAAGCGCCTCACAGTATAAATCTGTCTATCTATCTTGCCAACTGCCCATCGTTCTTTCTACGCGTCTAAATGCCTCTATCTACGCTTCTACCTGTCTGTCGACCGAAGGATCTACTTGCCAACCTATTTGCTCACCTACCCAGCTATGGAACGACCTAGGTGGGTACCTGCACATGGCCAGCCTGATCTATACAAGCTGCTAGATACTATCTAGTACCATCTACTCGATAGATGCAAAGCCTGGGGAACATGAGCTTCTGCGGAGCGTTGCGGATGGAACGGCTTAATTACGGTTTCGGAATTGCTGTAAGACTAGAAGACTTGAAAGCCCCCGGGCACATTGATGCACGGTCTTGCCATTATACCGCGCGCCCAGTCAAGCCAATATGTCCCCTGCCCGAGCTCACACAGAGCCGGTTACACCCCTACCTCAGATACTCGGCCTAGAGGAGTCGCCTCTGTTACCAACCAGTATCTGCTTCGACCTTCCGGTGCCCAGAGCCGCTGAATAAGCTATGCTGTATTAGCTAGCGTGTAGGGCTTCGGCTGCCAGAAGCTGCCCCAATCGTCACACTTGGGAGTTTCCGAAAAATAGGGGTACCTTATTTTGAGGTCCTTGTAATAAGGATCCTACTAGTTAGGGTGCTCTATTAAGCTCCACTATTTTCGGAAACTCCCACTTAAAGCCTCAACTGAGGTACTGCCCTGGATCCTGCAGGTTCGGTAAAGGCTTGGACACGTTATGTCGATGCTCACAACTTGCTTGGCGATTGTCAATCCCTAAACCCAACTACAATTGCTTTGTGAGGCCGCTACAGGACTTTCATCGGTTCGGCGACAAGGCCCAGCAAACAAGTAGGATGTGGTAGCTTGAGGTAGGTCCTCTATGTGCCCCTGAGGCCAAAACCCTCCCTCTCTCTCCCACTGTTTTTTCTCTAAGGCATATATAGGGCTCTTTGTCTATCTTACTCTCCCCCTCTCCCTCCCTCCCTCTATCTCTCTCTCTCTCTCTCTCTCTTTCAATCTCGCCATCTCGCCATCTCTCTCTCTCCCCTCTCTCTCTCTCTCTCTCTCTCTCTCTCTCTCTCTCTCTCTCTCTCTCTCTCTCTCTCTCTCTCTCTCTCTCTCTCTCTCTCTCTCTCTCTCTCTCTCTCTCTCTCTCTCTCTCTCTCTCTCTCTCTCTCTCTCTCTCTCTCTCTCTCTTTCGGACATTCGCAACGTCAAACCCCATGCCCTATGCTCCAATACCCTGAACAAGCTTCAAGAACTGCCTTAATACAGGAGCCCCAATGCTTAGGATAGGGTGTGAGGTATGTTATAATACCACTGCAATCGGGATCGGAAGGGAAAGTCCTTACAATTTTTTCAGGCTTCTGCGAGCTTGTGCATGCCCTGTGGGAGTTCAGGGTACCTTAACTTGTCAACTTGGGTGATCAGACGGATTTGGGATTTCGGGTTCAGGTGTTCACTGTTCAGCCCTGAACCATAAATTCAAAACCCTACAGAAAAAGCTAACCTTTTTGCAGCAGGCCTCGTTGTCCAGCAGCCCGGTTACAGCAAGAGCCCCCCTTTCCCCCGCTAACCTAAACCCCTTAACCCCAAAGCCATTTTTTCGGGGGAGAAGCTTTATAAGCTTGCCCTCGTGAAGCCAGCACAGCGCGAAAGCCCTAAACTCCGAATCCTCTCCTGTGAGTCGCGTCATCTTCGATGAGTGCTCCCGGCCAGCCCAAAAAAGCGAGGAGGAAGATGAGCCCGAACCTGTAAACCAAATGGGTGGTTGTCAAACTTATGGTCCCTTTTTGGGTCCCTATTATAGTACGGCACCTATTATTTAGGGTACCGAAAAAGGGACCCTAATTTTGATAACCACCCAAATGATATATTAGAGCTTTGCGGCTTGTGGTCTTGGGTTTGGGGCAAATGCAAGCTCTTACTGAGGAGCATAGGGCTCCAGGCGCTCTTTACACGGGGTTAGTAGGGAATGGAAGAATGGTAGTAATAGTAACTATAGTTGTACCTCATTGCTCCATTCCCTACTAACCAAAGGTAAGTTTACACGGGCCTAGGATTCCAACACAGGCTCTTGTTCAGGAGCTTCGCGTTTCATCGGTACTTGAGGACAGGAAGACTAGGCCGAACCGATCAAAAAGGGCCTAGGTGGTTTTCACGGAATCGATTGAGGGGTTTGATGGGAGAAGATGAAGCCGACTCTGGTCAAAAAAGGAATAGAGCTCGTGATAAGGTATTTTTTGGTGGAGGTTCAACTTCAACATGGCCTTTTCGCCTGTCGGGAGCCGGGCCGGGGACGATTTTGGCGCTTCCGAAGTTGATGAAACGTGCCTCGCCTAAGCCCGACCGAAAGTAACCAGGGTACCTTTAACAAAACAGCACGTACCAATGTGGTAGATAGGATACTCTAGGTAAACCCGAAACTAAGATGCGAAACACCTCTCTGCTGAGCTCGTGTTGACCTCCGAATCGCTCGACATCATTGTAAACGATCGTGGCACGGCCATATTAGTCTGAGGGTGGGAACAAAACTTGGTTTGAGTATCGTATTGAGACTTGGAGATATTTCACAGCGTACTACAGAGACATGAAGGAATCGTATTGCGAATCCTTGTACGGTTGTTCCTTAGGGTTCGTCATCAGAAGTATGTTGTGGCATGCTTCAAACCTTATTCAAGTCAATAATGCCTTGTGTGGGGTGGTCTTGGGAACCTCAGAGTGCTCCTGACTGGTTCTTGGGTATTTCAGGCTTGGGCTTGTGCTGCAGCATGTTCTTTGACTCTTCGTTTGAATACCAAAAACCATGAGAAAACAACACTAATCGGACCCTTAGTCTTATATAGTGTATGCCTTTGGAGCTATAATGCATGGCTTTGGAACATGGTTGCGAGCTTTCGTTTGTGTACCATAGGCTTGAATCCCAGGCTTGGGTGGGACTTCGAGCGGTTACATTGCTTCGAACTTTGACCTTCATCCCCAACTCTGAAACAACCCCATTACTGACAGCTAACAAATACTGCCTACTTGACGACTAGCATTGATAACCATAGTGCCGTGCTACAGCTTTGGTCATGCTTAACCCGAACTTTGGAGCGACAAGGGTCAGCGTTAGGCCCGCGATCTTGGTCAGCCGCCGAGAACCCGTGGCTATGCCTCGCGCGACCTGTCGAGACCGCAAATAGGCTTGTCGGGCTACTTATGCTTAGGGTTTGGACGTCATGGCGTTGAGGGAACCCGCTTACAATAGTCACTACACCGCAAAGCATCGCAGACACTACATTGATTATGTGGGCGTATTATTGCTTTTGGGGCTTTCGCTCGGTTTTCTGAGGGCTAGAATGCGAACCTCCAACCCCCAAAAGCCCACCGAGAAATAATCAACCCCTAAACCATGCAAACGAGGGTCGGTAAGGGCCTAGGGCTTACAAAGCTTAATAAGTCTGCCTGGGCCTTTAGGTATGACGCCTCAGACCGAACCCTGAACCCTGAAACCCCAAACCCTAAAGCCCGAAACCCCAAAACCCTGAAAACTCTAAACCCCTAAACCCTCTCTCTCAACGGAAGAGCCAAGGACCGCCTTTTCGCTACCACAGCCCGTGGAGACCTCGGGGACGGCGGTGGGGCTCCTGGGATCGTCGTCTTGAACTCCGGGGTTCTGTAAGGGGAGTTTGGGGCTTAAGGGGAGTTTAGGGCCTTAAGGGGATCGTAGGGGAGTTCAGGGCCTGAGGGGAAGTTTGGGGCCTTAGGGTTTGTGTTTTGTTTAGGGGCTTCAGTCTGCTTCTTTCTACACCGCATGGCACGGAGAGCCTCAGTGAGACAGGCTTGTGTCCCTGACACCTCTAGCACCCCTCCCAGCACTCGACAAAGTAGGGGTGTGGAAACTACTCTTGAAAATTAGAGGTCCTGCCTGAATAAGGGCTCCGGGTAGTAATAATGCAAGGCAGGATAATGCTAGGATGGCATCTTTTCTGAGACTCGCATGTGGAGAGCCGGAGTTGGGGGGTTTGGGATCGGGTCTCCGAGCTCAACTACTTGTAACATAGGAGCTTTAATAATTTGTTTCCCTCTCGCATGGCTGGAAGGCAATATCCGCTCGCGAGGTCTGTCACTAGTTACTAGTTGAATGTGCAATGCAACGACAATGCTGAGAATAGGGGTTTTGGGGCCAATTGTGCTATAATTACAATAAGGAACCTCCAAAATAGGATAGGTAGTTATTCAAAAAAATTGGGCCCCTAGATTGCATCTGTAGGTCGGATGGGGTGAAACATCAATGATCGGCACAGTAAGGACAACTCTCCATACTGATACAACTGATACCACCTGCTAAGGATAGGGGAAGGTAATGTAGGTTCGGGTCGTTTATGCCCGCCGGAACCCCAAACCCTACACTAAGGATAGGGGAAGGGCAGTGCATCACTGGTCACAACACAAATTGCGTTTCTCGACACTTTGGTAGGGCTTCCAGGGCTTGGGTTTTCCAAGCCCTGCCCGGCAGTCCAGAGGTATGCATGTACGTATGTATGTATACACAAATTTCGTAACGTGTTTATACAGAGATATAGATAGAGATATAGATATAGATATATATGTATAGGTATAGATATAGATACAGATCCAGAGATAGAGATACAGATAGAGCTTTGCGAAGTCTGGGTGATTCGGGCTCTCGGGGCTTGATGTCTCGGGTGTGGAGTCTGCTGAGGTTGGAAATGCAGGGGCTTCGGGGCCTTTTGTGGTTGACGGTGTCTTGGTAAGGATGGTGGGACTTCTGTCATCGCTGTATTCTGATCACCTTTGTAATTAACCATGCGCACAAAACCCACGAGCCTGAAACCCAAAACCGCAAGGCCAAGACGCTGGCCCTTCTTGGACATCGGGCTGTTACCCCGGAGACGTAGGTCCCGGGCATCCACGTTGAGCGAAGGCGAGGCGCTCATGGTCGCGGTCGGCGCAAGCACGCTCAAAACGCTACAATACCGTGAAAGCAAGAAGCATCTCGGTTTTCCATCTCCTGCAAAGGCACTGAAGCCCTGAACGCTGTGCCCTACTACATATGGACGTATAGAAGAAACGCGATGATCACGCACGGTGAAGAGACGCATCTCGCAAAAAGCCCGCAAGAGGAGGCTGAAGCCAAGTCAAAACAAGCTGCGCGCACGGCTGCTTCAATCTCACAGCGCATGGTTTCAACGTTTTGGTGTTGTCGGTTTTGAGGGGGCAGACAAGGCCTGGGTCCCAGGATTTCTCGAGAGAGCTACTGCAGAGGGTCCACGATGCAAGTGCGCAGCTCTGATCTCTGAATAGCGTGTGTTGGCAGGCAGGTCCAAGGAATGAACAAATAATACGCGGCCACAAATGCAAAGTCAAAGGGCACTGAGCCTGGCGATTGAAACACGCACTGGCCGCACTTTCACGGCTGTACAGAACAGTGCGCGGCTAAGGAGCTGTGCTTGTTGCAGATGCTTGCCTTATTAATCAACATTACATCTACTAGGAGCCTCTTCTTCAACTGCACTGGCATCTAGGAACCACAGGAACAATATCAATTTCAGCAAGTCTGTGACCCACAAAAGAGGGCCGCGCCCTGCCAGGCACCAGCCCAAACGGCTGTCACAAGAGCCGGGCACGCTCTGCATGCTGTCCTGGGTGTCGATTTCAACAGTCCCCAAAATTATGTATGAATTCGGCTTCTAAATTCTAAGCCCTAAACACAAAATCCTAAACCCAAACCCTAAACAAAAAGCTACACATTATCCAAAATCGGTACCTGGTGTCCCTTTTGGAAGCTTCCCGAAAAGCCAGAAGAGGCTTCAAACCATCTTCCGACAGGAGCCAGAACTGCATAGCGGACTATGCCTCTACTGGCGCTCTTTCTCTGAGGCTTCGCATGTGCTCCTTGTACTTCTTGCTGATCTCCTGCAGCTTCTGCTGTCCTCTCGCCTTCTCCTCTGCCCACTTGGCCGCTTCGGGGCCGTTTCCGGCCTCCAAGGCTTCGCCTTCGGCCGTCATAGCATCTGAGATGGCCGTCAGCACTGGGTTCGACTCATCCAGCTGCGAGGTGAAGGCATCCACCATGCCTTTCAGGGTTGAAGGACCCTGTAGAGAGGCATCTTATACTCGTCATAACCCGGCTCCTAAGATGGTCTAAAGACATGAACACGTACGGAAGATACATGCATGCATATCTATATATATATATATATACAGATATGCAGATGTATATATATATATATATATATATATCGAGAGAGAGAGAGAGAGAGAAAACAAAGAGAGAGAGAGAGAGAGAGAGCGAGAGAGAGAAAGAAAGATAATAGTACAGTCTATCATACCAAAAAATATGTTGTATCGGAGTTTATTCCTCACGCACTCATATACATATATATATATATATATATATATATTTATTTATTTAGTTTTGTATGTACTTACACATGCATGATCAACCCTTGCACCCTTTAGTCCCCGAGGTACTGCCGTAGTAACGCGACAGGCCCAGGTTCCCAGCAGCTTCGGCCTCGCCCCGGGCTTTGGTGGCCTTGGAAACTCCGAAAGGGCGGAGTACAGGGAACTCCAGAAAGTTGGAATATGGATTAATGGTAGGATCCCCTATAATTTACCTTAAAGGGGTTACGATAATGATATTCCAACTTTCTGGCTTCTACTGTAGGGGTTTAGGGTTTTTATCCCTCCTACCAGCAAGGACGAAGTCCAAATTGCAGGGAGTTTTGGGTTTAGGGTTTTAGGGTTTACTGTCCACGGGTGAGGTTGATTGCGAACTTTCATGGGAGCATGCAAGGTCAGTTTAGGGTTTTAGGGTTTTAGGGCCTGGGGTTTAGGGAAGGGTTTATAGAGGTTCGGGGTTTTGGGGGTCTCGAGTTGCGGGGTTTAGGGGTGTTGGGGGGGTTTAGGGATTACGCTCTAGTGGTTCAGGGGTCTAAGGTTTGAGGCTTAGGTTTTTCTTTTTAACGCCCCTTTTCCTCCACCGGAATTTGAGAGTTTAAGTTTCCCGGGTTTTGCTGGCCTTCGAAACTTCGATGGAAAGGAAGAGAGTGAGGAAGTTCCGGATGCCAAAGCCTGGGCTCTTCTTGGCTCGAGGATCTGCAATATTTTTATCTGTTTATCTACATATATATATATATACATACACAGAGTTATACATAATTACTTATCTGTTTGCTATTTTGTTTCTTTTGGAGACTTCATTAGGTTATACTACTAAATCGAAAATTGTATGCAAAACCGGCTCAAAAGCCACCGCAGCCTGCTTTGATGGGCCGTGGCTCCCCAGAGACTGGATCCTTCCGATCGGAGCAGACGCGCTGGATGAACTCTAGGAAGGGAGCCTCCTCCCCCGGGGCCCTCTGGAGAATGCTGGAGGTGAAGATCTGCATCAAGAGGTCTTCCCCCTGAACATCCACCAAGACGTTATTCCGAACGATGCGAAGATAGGTCTCCTCACCTAGGTTCTTGAGTAGCCTCTCTGAAATACAGGGTGATTACCCGTTTTTCTACTATGGCCCTAAAGAAAAAAGGGCAAACGGGGACTACTCAGGAACCTAGTAGACACAAAACCCCCATAGATCCCTTGTAGAACCCTTTAAGGATCCCTTATAGAATCTCTTTTGGAACTCTTCAAGAATAAGAAGAGTACTACTCAGGAACCCTAGTCACCGATGTTGTCCCGAAGCAAGGCATAGAGGTTGCCGTACCGGGCCCTTCGGATGTGCACCACCAGCTCCTCGTCACAGCCCTCTGGCAAGGCCGCCAGGATCTTCTCCTTGCTTACCTGGGGTTCTTGTTAAGGAACTTATAAGTTTAGTTACAATACTACTACGGAAACCATGCTGATTATTGGGTTCATAAAGGATATAAGTTAAGTTGCCAGAATAAGGAAACCATATTCTTCACTATAGATCCCTATTATGGTACCCAGTTACATCCAAGTCGACGATGTCGCTGGCATCCACCACACCAGCTGCCTTGAGGGAGGCGACGACCCTCTGCGCCATGTCATCGTCCAGCCCGGCCACCTTGTGCAAGTATTTCGGCGTCAAGCTGCCGTAGTAGGATCTTGGGATGGACAGGAAAGAGACCCCTGCACCCGTCATCCGACGCCAATCGTTCGCCCGCTGTACCAATGCCGGGAGATCCGCCACACGCGAGGCGATGTGCTGCACGCCCTGACCGATCTCCTGGGCTCTTGTCAAGGAACTTATTATAATTTAAGTTACCATAATAGAGATCCAGAGTACATGTCACTGATACTCTATATTATGGTAACTTGAAATAACTAAGTTGCCATAGTAAAGGTCCATGGTACATATTTCGGTTACCTTTTTGTGGTAACTTTAACCAACTCCCTCTACAAGAACTATAACTACTATAACCACTACTATTACTACAAACATTGTAATTAGACACGACTATTATTATAATTACTCTAATTACTACTAGTACTCTTACTATGATTACTACTGAAGCTTAACCCAGTCTCCTGTAGATAGAGATGGACATGGCCCACCTCCGACAGCGCGTTGTTGATCGGGAGATAGACCTCAAGAGTTTCCAAAAGCCAATCGAGACCGCCCCAAGAAAGGAAAGCAGAGCTCTTCTATTTAGGGTTCAGAGCTTAGGGTTCTAAAGGTACTGTAGGGAGTTCAGCTCTTAAGTTGGATAGTTTAGGGTTTAGGGTTTCGGTTTAGGGTATAGATAGATCGCCCCAAGAAAGGGAAGTACTTGGAGGTTCATGGGCATTTATAGATGGGGATATAAGTCCGTTCAACATGGGTTACAACTTTAGTTACCCTACTTATGACCCCACTTATAACTACCCATGAACTTCCAAGTAGAGCTCTTAGGCTGGATAGATAGACTGCTGATGCTTCAGGATCCCTCAAGAGTCGCCCCGCCTGACTCTGATCCTTCAGCGCGATTTGCTCGTTGGCAATGAAGGTCCCTGGCTCGTTGCCGGTGACCGTGGACTCAATCTGGGCCTCCCCTGCCGCGACGACTCCGGCGTTGAAGTCAACCTTGGGGCTGAAGCCCAAGGTGTCCTCTAAGGTGTCGAGGAAGCCGCGACGGCTCACGACGTTGCTGACCCAATGATCGCAGTAGGCCGGCAAGCTGCTCGGATCGAAGGTGGCAGGTACCTTCTCGATGCCTCAGGGGCGGGCCTTCGTAATTGAATGGAAGGGGCTAGCTAGTTGAAAGGGATCTGCAAAGGTTTCAGGATGCTTCAGGGTTCAGGCCTGGAAGCACCGAATGATCCACATTCTGGTCCGAGCACTCTACGAAGCGAAGCATTGTGCCGCAGTCCACCTCCGTTGTGCCTTTCTCGCCCTGGTAGTAAGCGTAGACCTCGAGGATGCGCACGCCTGGATACTCCTTGGGCATGCCGGGTGGGAGAAGTTTGGGGTGCTTTTCCGCGTACTTGGCCACGATGCCGTCCAGCTCCCCAGAGTTCACTTGGAAGCCCAAGACAGCCACGCCCTGTCGGCCAGCCTGATGCTGAGAGAAGCGCTCCAGGTGACTCTCCCCAAGGTGGTCAAAGGCCTCCTTCTCCGACTTCTGCCTCTTGGCCGCAGGGTGGCCGTCTGCAGAAGCGAAGTCAGCCATGCTTTTGTCCTGGTGGGCCGTGATCACGAACTTCACGCCGTCATTGTCGCTGCTGGTGACGGCCACCGAGCGGGTGGATGCTGTTTGGCCGAAACCGGTGACACCTCTGTTGCCCGGTATCCCCTTCAAATCAAGCCTACCTTTCATGCGGTGGTGAGATTTACGTTTAGGGTTTAAGGTTTGGGGTGCTGGGTTTATAGGTGTATGGCGATCGCTTAAGGCTTTTTGAAATCTAGGCTTTTTCTGCCACCCGCCCAGCTGTACCGAGAGAGGATTCCAGGAGGTGTACCCAGAGACTCCAATCATTTTAGGGTTCCTA